GAGAGTGAATTCCACGTGCAGAGGGAAGCTGTCCCCTCTCAGAAAGCCTTCCCTGTAGGACCTGCGTGGCGTCCCCTGCTTACACACGGCTCTGCCTGGGCTCCAGTCTCTGTCTCCGCAGACCTGGCACCCACAACCCACCCTGAGCGCCGGGGCCTCCGTGGCTCACGTACCATTCCTTCCTCCTCCCGCTGTAGTTTACGCCCGCTCCTCCCCTCCACCCTCCATCCGCTCCTCTGGGAATACTGGCTTTAGCCCCAAACCCCCCACTCAGCCATGTCCCACCTGTCCCCAGAGTCGCTCCTGACCATGCCTGCCCTTTCTGCCCTAGATCTACCTCTGGGTAGTGGGTACCGGATTCACGTTAACTCAGACGAGCACAGCTCGGTCCTCAGTGTCTCAAAGACCCACTCAGAGACAGAACAATCTCCCGGGGCTCTTTCCACAGTGAAGACAGAACGAGGAGAAGGGATTCAAGCTGGCGGCTGCAGCAGGTGAAGGGGTCCCACTTCCCGCCCCGATGGATGCCCAGGTCGCGGGAGGGCAGTGGGAAGGGCAGGTGGGCCTCGCCCCAGGAATGAGACGAATCATCACACTGTGGCTTCTGGTGCCACCCTTATGCCTGCTGACACCTTTGAGATGCCACCAGAGTGCCCACAGGACGCCCGAGTTACCTTCGAGGTGAGCCTGGCCGGGGCCCGGAAGCCGGTGTCGATGACGACCGCATACAGCTCGCGGCCGGGCCGGGGCGCTTCTTGCAGAAAGATGTACCCAGTTTTCTTCATTTCGTAACGATCTACTTGTCTGCTTTTAGCAACCAAAAATCCATAAAGAACCATAAAAACCACAATAAAAATGCTGGGAAGGAGGTTTTCTGTGTGACTGTAAATAAAAAGAAAGATATAAACAGAATTATTCAAGAAAATAGACATTTTAGAAAAAAATGATCCCCCCCCCAAAAAAAAACCAAACACAAACACACACAGAAAAGCCCTGCTGGTCTCCGCTGGCATGTTTTCAAGCATACTACCTGCTGTGGCGAGAGGGCTTCTGAAGGCACAGAGCCGCCCTGAGGTCCAGTGACCGGCACCGCTCCAGCATGGCCTCCGTGCCAGGGAGCTGTGCCACGCCGGACCTGGGGACTTCCACTCTGAGATACGGATGAGAACGCTGCTCTCGCTGCTATGATACGGACTGAGCGAGGCAATAAATATATTTAAAATGCTTCAAACGTGCAAGTGCCACGATGTCCCTGCCTCCCTCTCTTCCTGGCAGAACAAGGCTAGGAGATGCTGAAGACGTTGTGGGGACCCCCTCTGCTTCCCACCTGCCCGCCCCTGTGGGTGGTGCTGCTTATTCTCTACCGCAGGCTCCACTCGCTTGTTCCCAGACACCAATCCTGGCTCTAGGAGAGAGCGATGAATCCCCACAGATGCACAGAAGGATGTTCATATCCAATCGCTTGTGCTGGGACTCTGGCCTAACACGGGGTTCTGCCTGGACTCGTCTTGCGGACCTCTGACGGGATCTCAGAGGGCAGGCATTGGGGCCTATGCTGTGTGGGGATGTTGCCCTCCCCGTCCCTGTCACAGTGCTCTGTGACCCTATCTGAGGGTGGGCTCTGCTCTTGGTGTCTTTCCTGGTGCTCTTCTTCCCCACCAGGATGGAGCCCATTCAGAGCTACACCCCACCAGGTGAGCAGGGTGGTCACAGCTGCCCAACTCTAGCCTGTCCTTCTTCTCACTCCTGGACTACTCCCTGGAAACTCTCAGATTCTGGCCAGCAATCCCAGACACTACTGCTCCCGTGTGACTTCAGATGTTGTCTCTGTCTGGACTTTCTCAGGGATGCTCCCCCATGATTTGCCCCCATTCCAGTGGTATCAATGCTGCAGAAACCACAGTTGAGGCTGCTGTCCTCCAAGCCCTGATCACTGGACAGCTGGTGACCTTCTCTGGGCCCTGCATCTGTTGCATTAGTAATTAATGTCTTATTTACTAATTACCTGACTCATCAACTAGTCTAGAAAGTAATATTATTGATTAAATTCTAAAGTAAGGCAGAGTTTTATATTACATGAATATAATGGAAAAAAATTAATACTTAACACCCCAGAAAATGCAGACTTTGTCCTAGATATTCATTCACCAAATGAATGAATTTAGTAAGTCCCTGCTATGGGTCAAGTGTTATATTAAACATAGATGGACACTGATGAATGAGACAGAGAAGGTTCCTGCCCACATGAGCTTACACTGGATTTACCCGTATTTCAGAATCTAAATATAGTCATTCCATGTAAAACAGTGGCTATGAAAATAGGGTAAATCTAAAATTTATTATCTAAAATGGGGCACTTCTGAGAGAGAAAGAGGGAGCTATTAATAATTAGCCTATAAGAATAAGCATAAACCAGGACAGGCAATCTTCACTGCAGACATTAACCCAACCAATAATAATTGACCAAATTCACACTGAACTAAAGCCAAACTTAAAAGTAGAAAACTATGATGACTTTCTTGTATTATAAATCTCTTGCCAGTGAGTATAGACAGCTGAATATAATATTCAACTATATAATAATTAAAAGACATTTACTAATATCCGTATTTCAAAAAACAAAATGATAAGTAACACAGATTTCAAGCATCCATTGAACAATATATGGGCATTCTGAGTGGACAGTAAAACAAATAAAATAAAGTCTATTAGGTCTTGATTCAGAAAATGGAACTTACCTCTGTAACTTGGAAATGTCACTCACTTCAAAACTGGCATTTGGCCTTCTTCTGAGGACAGAGAATGCCGTGGCGAGGCGGTCATAGCTACGGGGGAAATGCTCATTAGGACACCAGGCTGTTTACACTGTGATGGACATTGGTTAAAAGACATACTAAAAGGAAGACAAATTATAATAATTATACCTTTATTATTTAGACTCAGTTTACGGTATTCATCTAAACCTATTTAGAAACAAGAGACCCTTCTGATCTGCCAGACGTCTTCATGTCTGAAAGTTGGGGCACGCAGCCCCCTCAGATGCTGTCCGGGGATGCCAGGTATCAGAGCATGTTGTAGACTCTAGGACAGCCCCTCCAAGTGCAGCTGCAGCCTGAGACGCTCAGGTCCAAATCTCAGCCTAGCTGTGGACCGACCTCAGCAACTAGTCAAACTCTGTAAACCTTTGCCTAAGTGTCAGTTCCTGGCATTACAAATCCCATCATTGGTAACTCCTACTCTGACAATCACTATAAACACCTTTTTTTCTTTTAACTAAAACCTATCTCACCCTCATTATCTTGGGAATGGGTCGCATTTGTTATTCTTTTTTGCACCCCTGGCTCATAGAAAAGTGTCTAGCAGAGAGTAGTATATAACAGAGAATGAATGATTATAAGTAATGCATTTATCAATAATTTAGTATTGAAGCACAATAATGGGACATTGCTAGTAAGTTCAAATGTTCCTAGCTATGGCATAATATAAATTTAATAGTGCAACATAAGAAAAGCAATAAATAGTTATTAATATGAATTGCACTGGTATGGTATGATCTGGACATATTTGCCTCCTGGCAGGCAACAAGAAAATACAGTTTCTTATGTCTTAATTGTTCTTAAGAAGGAAATGACTATTTGTATTCCTAAATATGCCTAATAATTGCTGATCTCTACCCTAATGAAAAGGTAAGGACAACAAAAATGAATGAACTGAGCCTCGCATAGAATTGTTAGTTTTCCAGCTAGATGATAAAGAATTTCTAATTTAATACATGACTCATATTCCCAGAAATTCCTGAGAAGGCTGCTCATATCCGTGTGGAGATTTTGCTTGCCTCGGAAAGCTCACCTTCACAACTTGGCGGGGGGCGGGGGGTGGCGCGGAGTGGGGAGTGCACCTCTGCAGATGAGGGGCTGGCAGGGCCTCAGAGGACAACAGGGAGAGTAGAGGGCCCTGCCTGTCTGATGACAGACTGCACACTCAAAGGAGGTCAGCACCTCTACAATAACAGAACTGATGGAGTCATCTATCACTCACCTGTTGACTCGTTTCTTCAACAGACATTTACTAAACACCTACTACATGCCAGTCACCATGGGGATGGGCACAGTGGCAATCTACAAACCATCTCCTGCTCCTCTGGAGTCACCCAGAGTGGGAGGACCATGGCCACAAAAGGCATAGGCTGGAGTGCCTCGGCTTTGGGAGAACAAGATTCAGGCAAGGCTCCAGGCTGGGCCAAATGCAAAAGAAAATGTAGTCAATTACCAAAATCCCAGATTCTTTCTAAATAGTGTGTCTATACCTGCAGTTAACTTTTTCAGGAGAAGCTCCTGGTTGTGGGGAGAAACTTCCAGACTTCCACTCTCTCTTATCCCAAAACAGGCATCGGATCCACTGGAAATGTACTGTATAGTTAACTGCCTTCGCTAAATATTTGTTTGGAGCTTTTCTGTCATAGTCAGCATCTAATAAGGATAAATAGCCTATGTTGGCATCTAAAAAGAGAAAAAATAAATTAAAAATACTACCTGCAGTTTGTAGAAAGGCACACTGCATTCCAAACACAGATAGAGTAGTAGTCACGCGGGGACAAGGAGTAGGAGATGGATAAGAATTGAAAAGCAAATCAAATCCTGGCCATTTCCTTTCCCTGGAGCATTTAAATTGTGGATTAAATACTACAGCCAGTCAAAGCTCTCAGCTGTAGATTTTCATTTGGGAATGGCAGAGAATTGGGAAGGAAAACAGTGTTTCTAGGGCCCCCTATTTTCTAAGTCCCCCCAACACTCTGAACAAGTCACCCCACGGCCCTAGTGGGGATGGGGGAGTGTTGGGTCAGGTTCTCCAGGTGCTGTCCAAGCCCACTTCTTGTTTCTCCCCAGCTCCTCAGTCTCCCAAATTTCAGCATACCCTGAGTCTGAACCCACCTTGGAAAGGGCAACAAAATGAGCCACATGGTTTTAGCCTATCATTGTTAGAAAATTTTTATGTTTAGAAGCAAAAGTATCTAACATTTCAGTTACTTAAAATTTGCCCTTAAGATTTTTTAATAAATGGTGTTGGGACAATTATATATTAGCCCTTTGTATAATAAAAACATGGAATGAGATATGCCCCATGCCATATGCAATAATAAATACCAACCAATCAGATAACTAAATGTAAAAGGAAAAACAAAACAAAACTGCACAAGTACTAAAAGAACATATGAATGACTTCTTTTACAATCTGGATGTAAGAAATGAATTTCTAACTATGGCTCTAAATCTAAAAGTCATACAAGAAAATATTGATAAATTACTATTTTAAAAATAGTCCTAACATATAAAGAGCTCTAAAATCAAGAAATGGAAGTCTTGAACAGACCAATAATGAGCAGCAAGATCAAAGCAGTAATAAAAAAATCTACCAACAAAAAATCCTGGACCAGACAGATTCACAGCTCAATTCTACCAGACCTACAAAGAAGAACTGGTACCTATCCTACAGAGGTTATTCCATAACATCAAGAAGGAGGGAATCTTCCCTAACTCATTCTATGAAGCCAATATCACCTTGATACCAAAGCCAGGAAAGGACACAATAAAAAAAGAAAACTACAGACCAATATCCCTTATGAACACAGATGCAAAAATCCTCAACAAAATACTAGCAAACCAAAATTCAACAGCACATCAAAAAGATAATTCACCATGATGAAGTGGGTTTCATCCCAGGAATGCAAGGATGGTTTAACATACACACATCAATAAATGTGATTCACCACATAAACAAAATTAAAAACAAAGACCACATGATCATCACAATAAATGTAGAAGAAGGATTTGATAAAATTTAGCACCACTTCATTATAAAAATCCTCAACAAACTAGGCATAGAACGAACATACCTCAAAGTAATAAAAGCCATTTATGACACAGCTAACATCATCCTGAGTGGGGGAAAGTTGAAAGCATTCCCCCTAAGAAGCAGAACAAGACAAGGGTGCCCACTATCACCACTTCTATTCAACATTGTACTAGAATTCCTAGTCAGAGCAATCAGGCAAGAGAAAGAAATAAAGAGTATCCAAATCAGGAAAGAGGAGGTCAAATTATCCCTGTTCACTGATAATATGATCTTATATATAGAAAACCCTAAAGACTTCACTAGAAGACTCCTATAATTGATAAATAAATTCAGCAAAGTCTCGGGTTACAAAATCGATGTACACAAATCAGTAGCATTTCTATATACTAAGAACAGTCAAGCTGAGAGTGATATCAAGGACTCAATACCATTTACAACAGCTACAAAGAAAATAAAATATCTAGGAGTATACATAACCAAGGAAGTGAAAGATCTCTATAAGAAGAACTATAAAACACTGATGAAAGAAATCATAGATGAGACAAACAAATGGAAAAAACATCCCATGCTCATGGATTGGTAGACTCAACATTGTTAAAATGTCCACACTACCTAAACTGATTTACAATGCAATCGTCATCAAAATACCAACATCATATTTCACAGATCTAGAAAAAATAATTCTACACTTCATTTGGAACCCCCACAAAAAAAGTCAGAATAGCCAAAGCAATCTTAAGCAAAAAGAAAAAATCTAGAAGCATCACATTACCTGACTTCAAATTATACTACAAAGCTATAGTAACCAAAACAGCATCTTCATTGGAACAGAATAGAATACCCAAAAATAAAACTATCTACCTTCAATCAACTGATCTTTGAAAAAGCATATAACAACATACACTATGGAAATGTATTATTTATTCAATAAATGGTGCTGGGAAAACTGGATAGCCACATGCAGAACAATGAAACAGGACCCTTATCTCTCACCATATACAAAAATTAATTCAAAATGAATAAAAGATTTAAATATAAGGCATAATACCATAATAATTCTAGAAGAAAATGTAGGAAAAATTCTAGATATTGCCCTAGGCAAAGAATTTATGACTAAGACCCCAAAGGCAAGTATAGCAATAACAAAAATAAATAAATTGCACTTATTTAAATTAAAAAGCTTCTGCACAGCAAAGGAAATAATCGACAGAATAAACAGATCACCTACAGAATGGGAGAAAATATTTGCAAACTATATATATGACAAAGGGCTAATATTCAGAATCTAAAAAGAACTCAAACAAATCAGCAAGAAAAAAAAAAAACATTAAAAAGTGGACAAAACACATGAACAGAAGCTTTTCCAAAGAAGGCAGAGAAATGGCCAACAAACACACACAAAAAAGCTCAATATCATCAGGGAAATGCAAATTAAAACCACAATGGGATATCACCTTACCCCTGTCAGATGGCCATTATTAAAAAATCAAAAATGCTGGCAGTGATGTGGAAAGAAAGGAAAACGTACACACTGTTGGTGGGATTGCAAATTAGTACAACCCTATGGAAAACAGTGTGGAGATTCTTCAAAGAACTAAAGGAAGATCCACCATTTGATCCAACAATTCCACTACTAGGTATCTACCCAAAGGAAAATAAGGCATTTTATCAAAAAGATACCTTCACTTGAATGTTTATTGTAGCATGATTCACAATTGCAAAGATGTAGAATCAACCTAAGTGCCCATCAATTCATAAGTGAATAAAGAAAATGTGATATTTATATACCATGGAGTACTCAGCCATAAAAATGAATGAAATAATGTCCTTTGCAGCAATTTGGATGGAACCAGAGACCATTATCCTAAGTGAGGTATCTCAGGAATGGAAAAAGAAATGCCACATGTACTCTCTAGTAATTGGGAGCTATACGACGGGCACACGCAGGCACAATGAGGTGTAAAGGACATTGAAAACCAAGGAGTGAAGAGGATGGGAGGGGGTGAAGGGCAAAAACTTACCTATCGGGCACAATGAACACTATTCTGGTGATGGGTACGTGAAAAGCCACAACTTAAGCATTACACAAGGTATCCATGTAACAACATTTGTACCCCCCTAATATTTTGAAATAAATAATAAAAAAGAAAAATAAATAAAATTTTTAAATTCTCAAAAAAATATAAAGAGCTATAAAAGGCATTTGGGGGGAGTTCAAAGATTTAAATATGGACTGCAGAGTAGATATTCTTGAATTAATGTTGATTCTTTTTCGTTTTAATAGTACTGAGTTCCTTAGGAGAATGCCCTTGTTTTTATGAGATGTGTGTCGAAGTACGTAGGGGTGGAGTGTCACGGGGTCTGAAACTTTCTCTCCAATGGCTCATTCTCCTCTCTACAAAACCCCCCCTACACACATGCACATGCACACAAATGCAGATAACATATGTGGCAAAAATGCCAACAAATGGTGAATCTCAATGAAATGGATACAGGTGTTTGTTGTACATATTTTTCTACTTTTCTGCCAACTTGAAATTATAATCAAAATTATGGAAAAGAAACATTAAGTGCCACATTTTAAAAACTGTCATTGAGAATTTGAATTTGGTTAGCAATATGGTTTGACCCATTTTTAAAAGAAACAAACAGTGACTGGTTCTCAGAGGAAAATAATTATATCCTAGGGAAAAATGTAGAGCCGATGGGTCTGGCCCATTCACCTGATAGTCGGAAGCCAACCGTTCCTTCAATGGCCACATTTGCTAGAAATCAGCGTAAAGCAAGTGTCTGATTAGTCCTGTGTGGGTCACTTCAGTACACTGACTTCAGTTTCTTGCTTTTTGGGGGAGGTCCCTGAGGCTTGGAAACTTAAGCTACCGGGGCAGAGTGTCGTGAGGGGGCAAGCATCAAACCTACCACTCCGCCAACTCCTGGCCGACACTGCCCTGACACTGCATCAAAGGGGTCGTGTTCTCTCTGTTCACACGTGAAATAACGAGATGCCTTCAAAGTCCTGACTCAACTCCTGGGTCAGGGAGGCTCAGCAGAGGGTGGTTTGAGGGAAGAAATGGGAGGGCGCTACAGGCACAGAGGACAGCCTGAGCAAAGGCAGAGCCCTGGGAAGCAGGAGACAGGGTTGGGAGACACGTGCACGCTGCAGAGCAGCATGCTCGTCCCCAGCACACTGCGGAACAAGGACTGCAATTCCCTGCGGAGTGGTTTCCACGTGTGTTAACTATTGCGGAAGAGTTTGTATACAGCAGGCATAGAAATGAGTTTGATGTTTGTATTGTGAATGAAGAAAAACACCGCTATGCATACATACGTCATAGGGGATGTTTTCCTTGCATAAACAGAATTGAAAAGTAAGATATCTCGTTCGCTGACCTTTCCATGAGACAGCAGGTATATACATTTGCACAATTTGCTCATCCCAGAAGTAGATCTGTTTCACAAGAAAATCAGAGGGAGTAGGTTTCTCAGAGAATCTAGGATATAAAAACAAAGTAGTAATGTATCTCTTTTTTTTCTCTCTCTCTCAAAGATTTTAGTTAAACCTCTCTCAAGATTTTAGTCTATTTGTGCAAAACATCCACTTCACTGCAAGGAGGTAGCCTGGGCTAAAAGGGGTCAATGCACTTATTCCGAGACAACACTTGGTCTTTTAATAAAAATTTCTATATAATAATTCACCCCTCATTTCATTAAAGAATAAAAACTTCAGTAAAAACAAGAACAAGAATGACCGTCACCGTCTGTAGGAACGAAATGAATAGCAGTGGCTCCGCGTGGCTAGGGCCCTACGGCAGTGCACACATTGCATGTTTGTGTTAACTCTTTGCATAACCTGTGAGCAGATAAAGAACAGTAGCACAAAGCAGTTGGCTAAGAAATTTATCAGAAGCGTTTTACCTTTTCTGTGTATGATTAAAAGAATTAAGTTAAAATCTAAACTCAGCAAATAGATACTTGCAGACATTGAAGGGCTTAGCTCATTTGGCAGAGTCCAGCCAATGACAGAGCCTAAACCTCTTGCTCAGGGCTGTGTGGACAGCACCTGCGTAAGATACAGCCTTGCACATGGGTACCCTGCAACTAGCCGAGATACCCACCTAGTCAATCGGGAGCAATCAAATAGCTAACACTTTTGTCAGACGGCCGGAATACATGGGACTCAGAGAAGAGAAATGATTAAGACTTTGCCCACCCAGACCTACCACAAACTCCGCAAACTGGTAGTTTCCACTAGCATTTTTAACGTATGATTCCAAAGAATCTTTTCAATATCCACTTATTTAGCCTTCTTATGTAATTTAGTTGTAAAATGGGGCCCGCCCAAGTCTCATGAACTTAACATCCATGAGAAAGATGATTTATCAAGTTTCCTTAGATACATAGATTTGAACACATTTTCTCCTTTTGGGAAAAGAAAGAAAAAAATAAAAGAATTCTGGCCCAGCCTTATACTGGAGAGAATTAGATTTCTAAATAAGATCGTGTGTATTACTACTAGCAATTCAGATATTTCTCACGCCAATAAATGTTCACAGGCAGGAATCCAATCTCAAAAAGCAAAGCAAGGAAGCTTATTGTCTGAATAGCAGAATATATAACAATTTCTTTAGACAATGAGCTTCATTATTGCTTTAAAAACAATTTAATTCATTGATTTTTTTTTCACAAAACATCCTTAAATATGATATTTCTTGCTCCAATCTCATTCCCACTGTAACTATCACCATCAACACACCTTACTAGCAACATGACGGGAAATGCTCTAGTGATGGGCTTAGAAAATTCGATTTCTATCTGTAGAGATTCCTGGGGGTTTTCAGAAAGTCCAATGAACTGATGGAAATTCACTTTATTCCGAAGCAATACAAATGTTGTTTTATTTCTTCTATGATCCTGCCATCAAAAGGAAAACAAGTTAAGCAAACTCTGCCTTTGGAAAAATAAATGCATGAAAAATCAGCCATCGTAGGCTAAATGAAGCAGAGGTAGCAGGGAAAGGCTCTCCTTACTGGGTTGTCTTCCTCCTCAAACTCCAGGGTCAGGGGTTTCCTCAGCCACTGTCTGCCGATGGGCCTTCTGCTGGAGCAGTTGTAGAGGGCGAGGCGAACAACTCCACCCATCTTGGGAAACAAAGACCATCTCAGAGCAATGATAGCAAACAGCAGACTTAAATGAGAAAAGCAGGAAAACAAAGTATAGTGGTGCTACTGTTACAGTTATATAAAATTATGTAACTGATATCAGAGGATAGCATAGAAAAATATTATAAAGCCAGCTTTACTAGTTAGGATGGCAGGATTGGCAATGATGCTTCATTTGTATTACTCATATTAAAATTAATGATTTAAAAATTTTTGAAGTATTTTTTGCTTTATATTTTGAAAGCTCATACAAAAAAAAATCTGCTCATTGTAGATAATCAGAAAGTTATAGAAAGATATACAGAAGGGTGAAGAATAGCTTGTCTATAATCCCTTCACTCAGGGAGATCATATTTGCGGATGTCACAGACCAAACTTTTTCTATGCGTTGAGTACGTACACACTGGGCAGATAATCATCCTCTATATTTCTTGCATAAAATCTTCCAGTCACTAAATTTCCCTGATTGATATAATTTTAATTGGCTATAAATGAATCGTATCCCTATGTCTAATGTTTAGGTACATTTCTATTTGGGTTATCATAAATAATATTGTTTTAAATAAATAAGACAAAATATACTGCTTTGGATAGATCTTTTCTCATTTCCTTGGTGTAGATTCCTACAGGCGTAACAACGTGGTCCAGGCTGTTGTACTCCTGACATATGTGGACAAAGTGCTTTCTGAAAGGTCATACCAAGTGGCACCTTGCTTCACCCACTGTACCTCCACAAGCTGTAAGTATTTTTAAGTAATTGCACTTTTGTAAGTTAAAAACAATCATTTTGATTTCTGTTTCTTTATTGCTTGTTAGTTTGAATTATTCTCATATGCTGGTTAGCCATTTCTATTTCCCTATTAAAAAAAAAAGTAACTGCTTTAAAAGATGAGCATTTTTAACCAAAACAAGATGTACTTCATGAATTTGCCCATTCTTTCATCAGATGTTTATTGGGTGCCCACTGGGCCAGGAACTTGTGCCCGGGCTGAGGGTGCTAAGGTACAGAAAATACTGAGACTCCTCACTCTCTGTCCTTCCAAACTCATGGCGACCCCAGGCTCATTCACAAGGCTTCTGAACGTGGAAGGTGAGGTGGATGTCTACAAAACTGCCGGGCGGCTGGGCCAATCCTCCCTGACTGCCCCATCCTAACATCGCCCTGGTCCTCTCTTCTGCCCAACCTCCCAGGAGCCAGGGGCCACCGTGCTGGATCAGCCCAGCCTCTGGACTGGATCACACTTGCCTCTCAGGTGAGCGGGAAGGAAAAGAGGTGAGTGCTGGTGTGTCCTTGGCAGCCCCTTCTCCGGCTTCATTCAAGTGACACTCTGTATTTGCATCATCACTGCACCACACACTCTAACCTGCTCGAGGCTTTTGTTCTCCCATGATGGATTAGAAAGCCCCACAGGAAATGCTGAATGGGCCCAGCGACCCAGGCACCAGAGACACCTAGTTTTGCTAGGATTTTTCTGGAGAAACTGATCTTCCAAGAGAAATCGAGACAATAACATGTTCTAAGTGAACTGAAAAACAGGTGCAAATGTGCCAACCTTGTCTCTCTTTTTGTCACTGAAGCCCAGTTACCGCAAATTCCATGTGGCAGGTCATCTGCCGTCAAGTACCTGCCCAGGAGCTCGGCCCCCTGGATACGGGCTCTTCTTGAAGAGTATGAGCTGACTAATGTAGCACGAACTCTGCGTTTCTGCCCCAGCAGGACTGTGTCCGGCAAGGTCACCAGGTAAATGCACCTGGACGGAGCCCAGGCTCTGGACGGAGCTCTGAAGGTTCTGATGAAGCAGCGTCTGGAACTCCATCTGCCCAGTGCTAACGTGGGTCAGAGAGAGACAGCCCTGAAACACAGCAGGGGGAGCCGAATGTTTGCAACACAAATGGCCAAAGTGTCTGGAATCTAGACCAGGGGAGAAGGGGAAAATGATGGAAAAGATCCCCCATTGCAAGTTAGATTGGATTCATTTGCCTGAGCAAAAATTTTGGTACAAGGATATAAATGGTAAATAACAGTAAAACACAAACTGTTTTGTTTTGACACTTTGTTCTGTGACATTTTATTCATTTTTTAGCAACTGCTGTGCTTCTTGGGGATTCTTAGCCCATCAAAAGGCAGTTTTAATACCATGATTATTTTTTTTTATTTCAGCATATTATGGGGGTACAGATGTTTAGGTTACGTATGTTGCCCTTGCCCCCCCCCCAAATCCAAGCTTCAAGCGTGTCCATCCTCTGGGAGGTGTGCATCACACTCATTGTTTGTGCATATGCCCGTCCTCTCCTCCTCCCTCCCTCCTCCCCCTGCCCAACATCCAGTAAATGCTATTCTTAAATGTGCACTTAAGTGTTGTCACCCTATGAAAAAAGAATACCATGATTATTTCTACAACATAGAAAGTTGGCAGGAAACATGAGCACAGGGCCTTAGGGCTCGGCGCTGGGAGGGTATGCGACAAATGTTTTTAAATGTACTAATGAGTAATGACAGTTGTAATTACCAGGTTCTGATAGGGTATTCATTTACCTTCTAATTTCCCAAATATTACAGTAACTGTCAGTTAAATAAACCAGCAGGACTGGCAGGAGAGGAACAAAAGCCCATTAACTTACTGCTCTTGAAAGCATTGGACATTTTCTAAGGTAAAAATTTTAAAAAATCTGAGACAATTTCTCAAAGATACTAGAACAGAAATAAATGAAATAAACTTCAGGATTTTTTTTTTAGCAGTTATATATCAGCAGGGTTACTTTCAAAATTAATGCATGCAAGAAATCATTTGTATTAATTTACATCATTTCTCAAAAAACAGAAGGTATCCTGAGAAATAGTTGTTTAGGAGTCAAATGTCCCAAATATCTCAAATGGAAATCTACCAAAACACAAGAGGATGAAACAGAAACAGAGTTTCACTGGAAACATTACAATGCCATCACGAAACACTTAAAATTCAAAATGAAAATTTCCAAATACAGAAATGCTCCCCAGAATAGTCAACATAGCACTTTAGGAGCTGATTCTATTTTGAGAAACAATTATAAATATAGGTTAGTGTCCTGGGAGAAGAAAACAGTATTTTTATGGGTGGAGGAAAAGCATGACTTACGAGCAATAAATCTGAGATGACGATAATTGCCTCTTCCCGTAGATAGCCCTCACTCTGCAACTTTTCTTCCTTAGAGATGTCCCAGACTCTGGACATGAGAAGGACGAGCTCCAGCCTCAGGCCTCTGTCAGCCACACACCTCCCCGAGAACCAGCCTTGAGCAAACAGCGTCCGGGAGTATTTGAGGATGAGAACTGCACTCTCAAAGCTGAGCTACGTGGAAAAAAGAGATGTAAGCAAAATGCTTCAGGAACATCATGTCTATATTCTAGCCTCTTTCATTATTATTGGGAATTAAAAGTACTAAACTAGGGTCAAGAGAACTGAATGCAAGTCCAGTTTGGTCTCTAGGTGATCACTGGCAACTTCCCAAGTAACAATTTGCTGTCTGATATCAACTTCCTGACTCACAAAATGATAAAAGTAAAATAAATAGTCTCTACCAGCCTTTTATGCTGTAAGATGTTGCTTGGTTTGAACCCCAACAACCACGTTGCAAATCCCTTCACAAACTGGCCCCAACCTCCGCCCTCAGCCTTCTCTCTCCCATCACCCAAATGTGCTCTGCTCTCCAGCCTTGCTGAGCCTCCTCCTGCTCCCAAGACATTGTGGCTTCTTCCCGATGCCTTCCACATTCCCAGACCTGCAGTAGATTTACCCTCTTTTCGCCTACCAAAATCCACTGTTTTTCTAAAAAAAAAGTATTCTCTCTTTTTCTAAACTTGTAACATGGACTATTTCCAAACATACACAAAAGTAAATAGAATAGAATAGTAGTACAACATGCCCATCACCCAACTTTAACAATTATCATTCATGGGCAATATTTTTTCTTATGTTCCTTACTTGATATTTAAAAAAATATTTAAAAGTAAATCTCAGATATTATTTTTATCCACACTTTATTATGTAGCACTGATAGATAACACTTTATTATGTGTGCTAAAAGCATGCTCACAGCACCATTATCATGTCTAATAAAATTGCGATTCTTCCTACTTATCTTCTAAAACCAACTTCAAATGTCCACCAGACAAAGTGAGCTGCACCACTGCTTGTGTTTCTGCAGAATTTTGCCATTCTCCTAATCATAGGACTTAGTGTATTTATTGAAGTATATCTGTTTCCACATTTGACTCCATTCATCAGTGCTTAAAAGACAAAGACTAAATCTTTTTCTTCTTTGTACCTTAGCAGCTCCTAGCAATTGCTCAATAAATACGTGTCCAATGAAATGAAGATTATATTTTCTGTTAGCCATGCTTATTTAACCAAAATGTGGTTTAGAAGTACCTTTTAAAATAAAATTCTTACACCAACAATAAAATTAAACTAGTTTGGAAATACATTTAAACTACCATTAAAGGCCTTATACACAAGGTAACTTACCATCAAAATAGGACTTAAAATTTAAAGAATCATCTTTTATCTAAAATAAAACAAGTACTTTAAAGAACATAGTGTGCCCACTTTTCACAGTGCCTACTATTTTTAACCAAAAATATCAAAAATGATTACTTTAGAAATGATAGTCAATCATGTGCAGTTTTATTTTCCACTCTGAGCTAAGAACTGCGGCAGGTCCTGGGGTTTGGAGAAGCACAAGAGAGGGACTATGCCAGGGATGGTTTGATCTCCACCACATTCATCCTCCTGAGCCTCGCGTTGGGTCATTGCTGGGAAGTAATTCCATTTCCTGGATCTTTGAGTCCAGGTGAGGCCATGTGACTGGTGCTCACCGGGGAATGTGAGTGCAGTCAGGCATGCCACTCCCAGGGCCACATTGTGGACAAGCAGTATACCTTCTCCACGCTTTATTCCCCTGACTTAGGAAGCCACAGAGTGGATATGTTGGGAGCATGAGATGAAAGCCAGAGTCCCCGAGTCACCATCGGGGAGATCACCCATGGAACACCTGGTATGGGATGTGTGTGATTGAAGAATAAACTTCTGCTGTGTTCAGCTACTGAGATTTCAGAGTTGTCTGTTATAGCAGCTAATGTCACTTTAACTAATGTAGTTTGTGTCTTAGGAGGCTAAGTAGTCTAAATTTGGAAGGCAGATGTAAAAAAAAAATAATTATAGATCAAAAGTGTTAAAGTGCTATAACAAAGTCATGTACAAATTTGCCTAGAATCAAATGAACTCTGCCTTCAGGCTCTGTGAAGATTTCATAGAGAAGGTGGCACTTGAATCTAGACTTGAGGAGAAAGTAATACTCCCAGAGAAAGAAGTAACCTGCTCCAGGTTAAGGGAAAGCACACTATGTCAGGGACGAAAGGAACTTCCAGAGTGACTGAACAGGGAAGCTGGCTGTGTTGGGATGTGTGCAACGTGAAGTGCGGAGAGTAAGCTGGAGCCAGGTAAAGTCTGTGCATGATGTGCGAATAACCAGATTTTATCCTCAAACTCCTAGGAAGCCATCAAGTATTTTAAAGCAAATGGAAGACGTGACCAGATGTGTTCTCTACGAAGACAGCTCTGTCAGAAGAGAGGAGGATTACACTACCAAGGGAAGACTGGCCTCCCTACGCAGACTGGTGGCTGTTGGAGTAAAGCCACCCAAGAAGAGGAGGATGAGACTTGGGGAGGAGGGATGGGGGCGGGCGATAGAGCCATCCAGTCATCATTCATTCATTCATTCATTCATTTCCCATCTGCCTCCCAAGCTCCTGCCATGTGTCACAGCTGTGGTTATTTCTGTGGTGAAGAGTAATGAAAAGTCCCTGATGTCATGCAGTTTACGTTCCAGCAAGGGAAGAGCAGCAATGAAGACGTAAATGAGATGGCTGCTGATAGTGAAAATACCGGAGGAGACAACCCAGGTAGTACAAGGAGAGGGTGACTTCAGATTGTGGGTCAAGGAAGACTTCTCTGAGCAAGGAATGTTTGAGCTGAGAGTGGAACGAAAGGTTCCAGCTCTTTGCTAAGCCAAGGGGAGGACACAGCAGGAAAAGGAACAAGCCAGTCTGTCTGGAGGATGGTTAGAAAGGGGTAGAAAGACCAAGAGAGGAGGATGGAAGGGTGAGAAGGAGCAAACCACACAGGCACAAAAGACCTGTGCATTTTATCACACATGCAAGGAGAAGCCACAGGAAGTATTAAGCAGGAGACTGGCATTACTAATTCCAGCTTTTAAAATGCTCCTCTGGCTGCTGTTCATAGCATGTATAACAAAGCGTCCAGACAGGAGGCAGGGAACACAGGGAGACAGTCTACTAGCCTGGAGGAGAAAGGACGTGTGCTTAGATTAGAGTGGGGCAGTAGAGATGGAAGAGGCAGGAAATTCTAGCTATGTTCCTGAGGAAGAACTGATCAGACTTAATTCTAAGTGGATGGAGGATGAAAGGGAGGACTCTCTGAGCACACCTGGGCTTTGATGTGACCCTCTGAGTGGACGGTGCTTCCCTGTACTGAACTGAGGAAGGCAGGAGGAGCAACGGGGTGGCAAGGGGTGGAGAAGAGCTGCGCTTCCACATGCTGGGCTTGAGCAGTCATCACCCACGTGGAGGTGGAGGTGCGAGGTAGGTAGCTATGGGTATGAATCTGGAGCACTTGAGAGAGGCTCAGGTTGAAGATATAGAATGCAGAGTCACCATCACGTCCACTTAAGGTGAGAAGACTGGATGAGATCATCCAAGGAGAAAGTGTGGACAGAGAATCTAAGAGGCCCAAGACAAAACCCTGAGGCACTGACCACATAACCACAGGTGGGGAAAAGCCAACAGTGCTCAGTCACCAGGCAACCAAGAAATGTGTGTCATGAAGCCAAGAGAAGAGACTGTCTCCCAAACGAGGGCGAGCCTCCCACAGAACGTTCCTGGGAGGGAGAGGTCGGCCCAGTGGATTGGGCCACATGCAGATCTTCAGTGACTGTGGCAGGAGCAGTTTCAGTGTGGAGATGGAGACCAAAGCCTGATTTTCATAGTTTAAAAATGCATGAGGGTTGGGTGCGGTGGCTCACACCTGTAATCCTAGCACTTGGGGAGGCCAAGGCAGGAGGATCACTTGAGGTCAGGAGTTCAAGACCAACCTGAGCGAGAGTTAGACCCCATCTCTACAAAAAATAGAAAAATTAGCTGGAGTGGTGGCGTACCCCTGTAGTCCCAGCTACTAGAGAGGCTGAGGCAGGGGGATCGCTTGAGCCCAGGAATTTGAGATTGTGGTGAGCCGTGATGACACCACTGCATTCCATCCCAGGCAACAGAGCAAGACTCTATCTACAAAAAAACCAAAAAGAAGTCGAAGAAGCTGGGTGTGGTCTTGTGTACCTGTAGTCCCAGCTATTCAGGAGGCTGAGGTGGGAAGATTGCTTGAGCCCAGGAGTTTGAAGCCAGCCTGGGCAACATAGCGAGATCTTGTCTCTGAAAAAAAAAATGCAATGAGAGACAGCAAGTACAGCCCACAGCAGGCTCAGAACTCACTTTCTAACTTCTTGCTGTGAAGAGGAGCATAGAAATGAGATGCCAGCTGGAAGAGGGTGGAATTTCACCAGAAAGATTTTTAAAAAAATAAGTGAGATTCTAAGCATGTGGGGGATCACAGGCAGATCACGGGGAGATGGAAGCAGCAGAGAGGGTGGTGAACTGAAGGAGAGAAACTGTGGAGAAGGCGAAGTGGGCGGGGGCTGGACCACCGCCTGCAGCCACTCGGGCTGGGCACTGCCTGACGCCAGAGGGCACCGCCGTGTAGACTGGAATGTGGGACGCTGAGGGACCTGGGGGGATTCCCACACAAACGGAGGGGTGCGCCCACGTGGAGTGGGGAACTCGCTCCATGGACACAGAGTGTGGAGGACGGACGAGGCTGGAGTTAGACTGCAGACAGGTGGTAGATGAGGGACTCTGCTCATCTCTCAAACAGCAACACAAAAGGTGCCAGAGACTCAAGAAGAAAAGGTGTGAAGATGAGAAAAGCCCATGCCGTGTACTAATAAAAAGCATAATCCCCTCACCAAAGTTGTCCATGGCATGGACAGTAACTCTTCCGACCTATTTCTACCTCGGGTTTCCAAACTTCTATACTAAGGAAGGAAGGTCTTCACCCATAATCTGAAATGGCCCATGTCATTCAGATGGATTCTTAGGAGGAGGTCAGATTTCCAGTCTCTGTGTCAAAACATAACTCTGGACAGTATATTCTTGAAGAACTGGTCATACACCTCATAATTATGCAAAACAGTAGGAAAATATGCTTGGAAAGAGATAACACTTACCTTATTAGAGAAGGTTATGAGGTTTCTCAACATAAGAACAGAATCAGTCATTTCTTCCTGATTAGGAGAAACAAGCAAAAAAGAGAACAAACAAAAAAAGAGAGGAAAGTTAGCTTATTTGGTCTAAAGTTACAGCTTGCTTATGTAGAAATAGAGCAGATTCCATGCTCTTCAGCTGAGAGACTAACTGGAGGCCAGACCTTCTTTAGAGAGACCACACCATGGTCTCCAATTTTCCTTCCAGTCCAGCATCTCTCCTTGATGTGCCCCTAGTCAGCCTCACCCCCACTGCCAGGAAACTGGCATGAGGCAAGAGGAAATAAGGGAACAGAGGCAAGTGAAACTTTGGAAAGGTGTCAAAGAGAATGATGGTGTAAGAAAACATATTATTTCAAGTGAAGTATCTTACAATTGTATGTGCTTTAGGTGCGAGTATACTCTGGTGACATGTGTAAGATAGCAGTTGCAGAAACGTTAGGAGCAAGGACAGTAATATTTGAATATATGGTCATTTCTTTAGAAGGTGCACATACTCGTGAACTTAACTCTCTAGGATATCATTGCTAACAAAATAAAATCATATTGGATTGACATAATTTTTCCCTACACAAACTTTAGCAGAACTGTCTGTAATGACCATTGACTTGTATCAGTCTGTCTTTTAGAAACCAGCAGCATTCATTGGTGATAGATATTAGCAGGCTAGAAGGATCACAGCCTTGTGTGGGAACCAAGCTGGCTGGCCCTTCTGGTCTCATTCTTTGCCTGTATTCCACAGGCATGACCACTTGCTGTTGTGGTAACCAGTCACAGGCTCTACTACTTGCTGCATACAGGCTTATAGATGCTGAACTCACCCTGCTCTGGGCCATACCTGATCTGCAAAAGCTAATTTGCATACTGAAGAAATTAATTCATCTTGTATTCGTGACCATTGGCCACATGAGGCAGTTCCGTCCTCCTTAGACAAACGACTCAGGATCCCAGTGGTCATGGTGATGTAGTTCCTCATTTCTGTGTAACTCCCCATCAGCTGGAGGATAGACAGGCTTTTCAGGCTGGAATTATATCTGAAGGAGACACAGGAGTTATGATTGTTCCAACACACTGCAAAACTTCTCATCCTGCCTACCAAGAGTGGAATGGGATTTGTGGGAAAAACACTTCGTGGTGGGTCAGGGCAGAAAGAGAATGACACAAAGGAGAGCTGGTCTGTGCAGAGGAGACTCTAAAAAGGCACAGTAAGGCATAATACCAAAATTCTTTTAAAACTCCTTTTATCAGAACTCAAAAAGGCACAAGAAGCCAAACAGATAAGGGTAAAAGCACTATGGCCAATGAAGAAATGTAGTGCAGAGCCAGACAAAGAGAGCACCATGGCACAGCTGGCTGGGGTTTCGTAAGCTTCTGAATGATGGAGTTGGCAGTTAGTGCCCAAATCCACAGTAGAGTGGGCATCTGCACTGTACTCGTGGTTTGATGTAAATTCACAAGTTTATGGCTTCAGATTCCAGTAACTAGGTATTTATTTACTTATTTACTAACAACATACTTCACTTATTTACACTTGAAAAGGGAGCATGATATCATGAAAAGAGCCCTGTGAGTGTGATCAAAGACCAGTTCCAGCCCTTGCTCTGCAATTTCTTTGCTGTATGATCTCAAGAGCATCATTTAACACAATAACTGCACTTCAGTTTCCAAATAAAAATAGAAAGTTTCATCTGAACATTCCACACAGAGTCATTGCAAGAAGTAAATACATTAGAAATCATTTTTTAATTAATTAAAAAATGCTTTATGGGCTCTGAACACATATGCTTAAGCATACCCTCGACCAACAAGTGATTTATGCAGACCAAGACCCTACGAAACCAGGCTAAAGATAAAAACAAACAAATAAATCTGTGCAGAAACACCACATATTGCACAGTAAGGGGAAATATACTTTACAAAATCTGTCACGCCAAGTCAATACACATATGAACAAATGACCAAACAAAAACAATGACAGCAAGACCAGGAAGAGGGGGTAGGCCAGTACCCACAGTAGCTGCAATATATTATCTAAAATGTCCAGCTTTCAATGAAAGATTTAAGACATTCAAAGAAACATAAAATGTGACCTAATACAGGAAAAATAAGTAGGGAACAGAAACTGCCTTTGAGGGGTCACAAATGTTGGACTTAGCAAAGACTTCAAAGCAGCTGTTATAGATATGTTTAAAGAACTAAAGAAAACCATATTTTTAAAAATTAAAGGAAGGTATAACGATGACTAATCAAATAAAGAATATCAATAGAGACATAGAAGCTATAAATTCAGAAGTTATAGAAAAAAACAAATAGAAAGACATGTACAATAATCAGAATAAAAGAGAAGTTGAAAAGTACATTTGAGAAAAGAATCTGTTACCTTGAAGACAAAACAATAGAGATTATAAAGAACAGAAAGAAAAAAGTAGGAAGAAAACGAACATCAACTCAGAGAATGTTGGACGTTATTAACTTCACAAATTCTATTTTTCTTTCTCTTTCTTTTCTTAATTTATTTAAAAAGCCATTGCATAAAATAATATCCATAAAATGGCACTGTTGGGCCTATAAGACACAGAAAAGTAATATAACAATACAAAGAAGGAGGGTGGGAGTGAAGCTATGCAGAAATAAGGAAATGACGCTAGATGGTAACTTAAACCCACAGGAAGATATGAAGACAAACAGAAATACTAAATAAGAAGATTCATACATTAAAACACTTCTGAAAATATATTTTTGCTCTTTTTTCTTCTCTAGTTTCTTGAAAAGATAACATTATACAAAACGATAGTTATAACATTGTATCGCTGGGTTTGTATCGTATATACATGTAATATGCATAATAATAGCACAAAAAGGGAAGAGAAAATGGATCTATATAGGAGTAAAGTTTCTACATCTTGCTGAAACTAAGTTAGTATAAATTTGTAGTTGTTTCTAATTAGTTAAGATGTATATTGTAAGCCCAAGAGCAACAGCTAAGAAAATACCTACAAAAAATACTTAAAAATCATTAAAGGAATTAAAATGGTACACTAGAAAATATTCCCTTAGGATAAAAGAAGGCAGTAAAGGAGGAACAAAGTACTCATGAGACATGTAGAAGACAGAAGCAAAATGGTGTACATACATCCGACCATATCAATAATAACATTAAATGTGAATAGATTGTAAAATACAATCAAAAGGCAGAAATTGTAAGATTGGATATAAAACATGTTTACTGGAGACATATTTTAAGTTCAAGTATAAAACTAGGTTGAAAGTAAAAGGATGGGAAAAGACATACGTGCAAACACTAACCATAGGGCACCTGCAACGGTTATATTTATATCAGAAAAAAATAAATTAAGACAAAAACAGGTAGTAGCAATAAAGAGGGATATTTTCTAATTATAAAATAGGTTAATCCATTAGGAAGATTAAAAAAATTATAAATATATAGAGATCTAACAACAGGTCCCATATACATGAAGTAGAAACTGACAGAATTGAAGGAACAGGTAGAAAATTAAAAAAATAATAATACTGTCAATAATGGATAGAATAACTAGGCATAAAATCAACAAGGATATGTAAGACTTGAACAATAATATAAATCAAGTAGACCTAACAGACATCCATAGAACATTTTACCCAACAAAATAAGATTACATATTCTTCTCAAGTGCACACAGAACATTCTCTAGAATATACCACATAGTAGTAGGGCAGTAAAAAAAAAATCAGTATGTTTTAAATTCTTGCAATCACATGAAGTATATCCTCTGACCATGATGGAATTAAATGAGAAATCAATGACAAAAATAAATTTGGCAAATTCACAAATATGTAAAATTTAAACAACGAACTCCTAAATAACCAATGGTTCAAAAAAGAAATTGCAACAAAAATTACAAAACACGTTGAGTAATGAATAAAAACACCAACATTCCAAAACACATGGGATTCAGCTAAAGCAGTGCTTGAGGGAAATTTATAGCTATAAATGCCTATAAACAAGACAATACCAAATCAATAACCTAACTTTCCTACCTTAGGAAACAAGGAAAAAATAAAAAAGAGCAAATTAAATCCAGAATAAGCAGAAGGAAAAAAATACTAAACATTAGTGCAGAAATGAGTCAAATAGAGAATAGAAAAAAGCAGAGAAAAATAAATGAAACCAAAAGCTTGTTCTTTGAAAATATCAACAAAACTGACAAATATTTAGCTAGACTGATAAAGAAGAGAGAGAGAAGACAAATTATTAAAATCAGGAATGAAATGAATATCACTACTGACTACATTAAAATAAAAAAGATTATTAAAAATATTTTAATTAAACAACTATATGCAAAAAAATTAGAGAATGTAGATGAAATGAAAAAATTCTTATAAAGAAAAAACTACTGAAACTGACACAAAAATAAATAGAAAATTTGCATGGTAAAGAGACTGAATTAGTCATTTTAAAATTTCCACAAAGAAAATCCCAGACCCCGATAACATCACTGGTAATTTCTACTGAATATTTATAGAAGAATTAATACCCATCCTACACAAAATTTTCCAAATATCAGAATACAAAGGAACATTTCCAAATTGATTGAGGTCACTATTACCCCAATACCAAAACCAGACAAAGACAACACAGGGAAAGAAAACTACAGGCCAATACCTGTTACGAATACAGACACAAACACTCTCAATAAAGTACTAGAAACAAAATCCAGCAACAAAGGCAAAGGATATTATATACCATGACCAAATGGAATTTATTTCTGGATTATAAAGGTGACGTAAATCAATCAATTTAATATAACTTGTGTCTTAGTCTGTTTGTGCTACTATAATAAAATACCTGAGACTGGGTAATTCACAAAGAACAGAAATTATTTCTTGAATTTCTGGAGTCTGGGAAGTCCAAGATCAAGGCACTGGCAGGATCAGTGGTCTGGTGAGGTCTCCTCTCTGTTTTCAGGACGGCACCTGTTGCTGCATCCTCCAATGGGACTAATATTGTGTCCTCACATAGAAGAAGGGATAGAAGGGCCAAAAGGGGCCTGTCAAGTTTGCTCTAGCCCTTTCATAAAGTTACCAGTCCTACTTATGAGAGCAGAGCCCTCATGGCCTAATCACTTCCTATAGGCTCCACCTTTTAATACTACTGTTGCCTTGGGGATAAAGTTTCAACATGAATTTTGGATGGGACACAAACATTCAAACCATAGCAATTTGTTAATAGAAGAAAGAACAAAAAACATATAATCATCTCAATAGACCTAGGAAAAGCATTTGACAAAATCTAACATCATTTCATAATAAAAAACACTAAAAAAAACTAGGAATACAAGAGAATATCCTCAACCTAATAATGGTTGTCTATGAAAAGCCTACAGCTAACACTTATTCTAAGTGGTGAAAGACTGAGTGCTTCCTTCCTAAAATTTGGAACAAGATCAGGCAGGATTTCCACTCTTGGCACTTTGTTCAGCATTGAACTGGGGGTTCTGGCCTGGATAATCAGTCAAGAAAAAGAAATAGAAAGCATCTAGATTGGAAAGAAAGAAGTAAAATTCTCTAGTCACAGATGACATGATCATATATATAGAAAATCTCAAGGAATGCACTAAAAAGCTATTAATACTAATAAACTCATTCAGCAGCCTTATAGGATATAAGATTAATATATAAAATCAATTGTAATCTGTGCACTAGCAATAAAAAATCCAAAAATAAAATTAAGAAAACAAATTTACAGAAAATAAAATGCTCATAAACAAATTGAACAGAATAAATACAAGATGTGCCCACTGAAAACTATAAAACATTGTTGAAAAAATTAAAGATCTAAACAAATATAAGGACATCCCATATTCATGAATTGGATGACTTGATATTGTTAAAATGGCAATACTCCCAAACTGATCTACAGATTCAACAAATCCCTACCAAAATCCCAGCTGGCTTTTGTTTTGGTTTGATTTGTTTTGTTTCTTCTATCCCCTTCAGTAGTTGTCTGGAGCCCTGGCTTGCCCAAGCTGGAGCAAGGCTGGGGAAGGCAGCCAGCATTGGAGCCCTCATGCCAGGCCTACACTGTTTTGTTTTTGCAGAAATTGACAGGCTGATTCTAAAATCTATATGGAAATATGAGGGATCTGAAATAGCCGACCTTGTGAAAGAACAAGTTAGTGGGCTCAGGCTTCTCAGTTTCAAAATTTATTACAAAACTACAGTAATGTAGATAGCGTAGTACTTGTATAAGGAGAGACATCTAGGTTAATGGAATAGAATTCAGAGTCCAGAACATTTATGGACAATTGATTTTTGACAAAGGGTCCAACATAATTCAGTGGGGGGAAATAGTCTTTTCAACAAATGGTGCTTAGGCAACTGGATATCATATGCAGAAAAGGAAGTTGGAGACCTACCTTACACTACACACAAAAATTAACTCAAAGTGGACCATAGGCTTAAATGTAAGAGCTAAAACTATAAAACTCTTAGAAGAAAACACCAGGGTAAATTTTTGTGATCTTGTTCTAAACAATAATTTCTTAGATATAATACCAAAAGCATAAGAGATAAAAAAGAAGACAAATAAGTTAGACTCAATCAAAATTAAAAACTTTTGTTCTTCATTGGACAATCAAGAAAGTGAAAAGAGAACAAGAGACTAGGAAAATATTTGCAAATCATGTATCTTGTAAGGAATTTGTATCGAGCGTGTGTAAAGAACTCTTACAATTCAATTATAAAAAGCCAATAAACCCAATTAAAAAATGGGCAAAGTTTGTGAAGAGACATTTCTCCAGGGAAGAGACACAAAGTGTATGAAAAGATACTCAGCTTCATCAATCACTAGGGAAATGCAAATCCAAACCTTAATGAGATGCCACTCCACACCCTCTACAGCAGCTATAAACAAAAAGATGGACAATAACCAGTGTTGGTTAGGATATTGAGAAACTGGAATCCTCACACATTGTTACTAGGAATATATAATGGTGCAGCCACTTTGGGAAACAGTTTAGTAGTTCCTCAAAATGCTAAAACTAGAGTTACCATAAGACACAGTGATTTCACTCCTAGTTATCTACTCAAGGAAAATGAAAACACACATCCACACAAAAACTTGTACATGAATGTTCATAGCAGTGTGATTTGCTATAGCCAAAAAGTAGAAACAACCCACATGTTCATCAATTGATGAATGAATAAACAGAATGTGATATATTCATATAATAAAGTATTATTCAGCAATAAAAAAGTATTGGGTATAATATATGCTACCATTAATACATAGATGACACTCAAAGACATTTATATACCAAGTGAAAAAAGATAGTTACTAAAGATCACATGTTGTGCCATCCCATTTATATGAAATTCCTAGAGTAGACAAATCTGTCAACATGGAGTAGATTAGTGGTTGTCTGGGCTGGTAGGAGGGAACTGGATGGTGGAGTTAGGGGAGTGACGGCTAGTGAGTACAAGGGTTTTATGGGATGAAGAAAATGTTCTAAAACTAGATGGTGAAGGTTGCACAACTCAGTAAGTGTACCAAAAACCAAGGAATCTTATACTTTAAATGGGTGAACTGTATGGTATGTAAATGATATCTCAATAAAACTGTTTTTAAAAAAGAAGTGTTTTATAGGCTCTGAAGCACCTGCACAGACATGAGTTAGCAGGATTGCAGTGGTGAATCCCCGACTTTTTCTTTTGCTTATCCTCAGAAGATGAATTTCTGCCACTCGTTGACACTCACTGACGACTTGGGGAAGGGCTATCACTTGCATACAAACACTGCTCTAGGATGTCCATGTGGTGTTGTGTTACTCACAGGTCCTCGTCCAGGCAGTCACTCCCACGGTAGCGGGGCAGCACGGTCACCACCACAGCGCATGGCTGTACCTTGGAGCCTTTGCCATCTGTGATCTCAGTGGAAACCAAAACTGTAAGGGAGAAGTCAGAGGATGGTCAGCCTGGGTATGCGGCCACAGACATGCTTCTTCACACACGGGCAGCAAGTGAATGGCACAGGAGGACGGGCTCAGTCCTGGCACAGCTCTGGACAGGATGACGGTGCAAGCTGTTTTCCCTCCCGAGTTGCTTACACTGTGGATGGATATCAACAAATCGGTTAACAGACTTTGTGTTGAGCAGATCTATATGCGTAGGAAGGTGATGGATGCTACCAGGACTCCAAAATAAAGCAAAGCATGAGAGTGAAACTTCAGGTTCTTCCACCCTCCTGGGGAGATCTCAACACTGACATAAAATCTCAGCACCAGTACAAGGCAGTGAATGCTGATCAGATGGGGAAGACAGGGGTGTCTCAAAAAGTTGAGAGGCAGAAGCCACCGCCATGTGCTGAAGAAGCCGGAGAGGGATTCCTTCATTCACACGCTCAGGCGCTCACTCACTGGCCCTGCAGTATGGTGTGCATGCAGGGCTGTAGGTGAGCAGGGCTGCCTCTGCCCTCCGGCACCTCCTGGCCGACTAAAATCACGATAAAACAGGGGTTAGGCCTGGGGCCATGGGGAGCCCAGGGAGTGAAACACAAACTGTAATGGGCCATCAAGGATTGGGGTAATGTTTTTCCAAGTTCCAAAATGATGTATAGAAATTTAGTAGGTCTAGAGAAAAGGTAAAGAAGAATTCTGACTGAGGAGATGTTTTTGTGAACAGACCTAAGACCCATTTTGGGGACCCAGGAATTCCTTCATGTCCCAGGGTCCCAGAGCTGTGGAGAGACATGCAAATGGGGGTTGAAGTGCAGGTGATGGCCAGATGGTGAAGCCACAAGTACAGTCATGTGAACCACGTGGAAAGATCAACACACAGGTGTGCCCTGGGGTCTATATAACCACATCCTCGGCCTGAAACCCAGTGCCAAGGATTGGGGACTTAATTTTGGAGGTTGGTGCTTCTCAAGATGTGGCCCGTGGACACATTTGCATCCCAGTCACCAGGAAGCTTGTCTACAAGCAAATTCTGGGCTCCGCCTTTGCCTCAAGATTCTGAGTCAATAGGTATTGGGTGGGCCCCTGGCAGCCGCAATTTTAACAAATAACCCTACTACAAATGTGGTTGGTGCTACGAATCAAGACAGAGAATCTAAGAAAAGGAGCAGGTCTCAGTCAAGACTTTCCATATTCATTCATGCAAAAGATGGGACAAGACAAAGTATGTATTAAATATTTATTAGATTGTATTTATTTTGCTTATGTTTACCATCTTAGAAATCTTGAATTCAGATATTCATAATTAATCATATTCATATTGACAATTATAACCAAATATCATGCTTATGAAGGATTTGAGTAACATCACTAACCCTCACACTGCTCTGGGACATGACCTAAAATTTGGTTCTATCAATTTATGTTAAAAATCCTTTCTTCCCACCCAGAGGTAAGGCCCTACCACAAAGTCCTTCTTCAGGGAAGCCCTGTGGTCTGGGATGCCCTGGTGGACAGAGGTCCCATTTACTCCGCATGCAGCTCTCTGGGGAGGGGCATGCCAGGTCTTAACATAACCGACTGCCAGGAAAAGGAAGCCCATTTTTGGTTGGGCCTCCTCACCTAAGGGCACATCCTGTTCTGACCCAGGTGCTGGGATGAGTCCCTGGCTTCACATCCAACACCAAGAAGTGGGAAAGCTTGGCATGAGCATCTGTTCTGAGAAAAGTCTCAGGGAAACAGAGGATGGAGGCAATCTTAGTATTTACGGATTTATGGAGGTAGACCCTACATTATTCCATTCAACCAACATCTACCATGCTAGTCTTGTTGCTTGACTTTAAGAAACTTCAAGATCAGATGGGAGTACAAAGTCATTGAGATACAAAGCAGGGCATGGATTACAAAGGTCCCAAAGTGCCCTGCACAGAAGTTTTACTCAGTTTAATTGACTTGAATCTAGAAGAAGGTGCAAGTGTTTCTAACTGGAGGTGACAGGCAAGGTTTCATGAAAAAGAAAGCATTTTAGTCGGGCTTAAAGGAAAGGTGAAATTTAAATAAATCATGTGGATGAACTAGTTCAGACTTCAAGCTGAAGTAATCTAACCATCCCAGATCCAAGAAACTTCTAGATCAGAGACTCTCAACCTTGCCTACACATTGGAATCATCCAGAAGTTTAAAGAATAAATGAAAACTAGAAAGTCACCCCCAGAGATTCTAATTTAACCAGCCTGGGTTATGCATGTCGAGATACCTCCCTAAACGGCTGTATCTGCCATATGCTCGGTTGAGCCCAGTTCCAAGGGCTGGTTTAGAACTGGACATGACCTCAGGAACAGCATCAGAGCAGAGAGCTGTCAGCACGATGGGATTCATTTTGTTTTGAGGTTGTAACTTGCTAAGTCAACATTTGTTTACCCCACATTTTCTTCTTTGGGGGAATACTTGATTTGGTTTCATCTATAATAAATGTAAGTTTCACCAGATATGACATATTTTATTAGTAAATAAGGGATATTTTGGTCTTCAATATTTAATTCACATAAAAAAACATTGTTTGGCATTTCATCATTTACATTAAGTTTCAGTTAAAATTTAGGATAGAAAAAACTAATTTACTGATAATATTACTAATGTTCTTTCTGCACCAAATGGTAGATAATCAACCTAAACTAAAAGTACTAAACTTATCAAAGTGAATAAATAATTGTATTTTCTAGACATAGTTTTCATAATTTTTAGTTTTTGGAAACCAGGAATAAAGGTTTAGAACTCTGTGTGAGCACAGCCAGTGACCCCAACTGGCACCACGACGACTTACCTTTGTAATTGTCCGAGGGATCCCCAGCTGGCAGAGAAAAATAATACTGGGCATCTCTTCCACGGTATAAAGTGTGTTTGGAGGTGTTTCCAATCTGGTAGCCAAATTCATAGTGAAAGTCCTGTGATCCAGTCCACGGGGAGCAAAAAATAGTACAGATGGACCCACTGTTAATGACATCACCAATAAGTGTGCACACACCTGCAGCCTTCACTGCACCTGAGGGCATTGTTTACAGCCAGGAACAGGGTAAATAACAACTAAGCAGTGTCCCCAGCTACACAACCCACTCGAGAGGCCTCTCCCACCCTCCAGGGATCCTTGTCATGAGCCCAAAGGGCTTCTTGCACAGATCCAGGAGCCCTCACTTGGTCTGTTTGCTCTCCTTGCCCTGGGACCTCAAGACAGGCACGAGTCAGAGTGAAGGGGACCTGGCTGCACCCTTGCTCCCCACTGCTGGGCACAACGCAGACTCAAGGAGCTGGGGTGGGGCATGCTCTTGCTGGTGTTCAAAGCAGCAGCCCACAGGAACTGGGCCTTGAGGAAGGGCCCCTCCTGAGAACAAGGGCAGGCTTCTGAGAGAAGGAGTGGCATGGGCAGGACAAAAGGGCAGGGACAGGCTGGTGTCCACACCGAGAGGATGAGAGGGTAGCGCCAAGGTCTCAATGTGGCAGCCTCCTGCCCTGCCCACCGCCCAACCTCAGTAGGAAGCAGCTGCCTCTTTAAACCCATCCTCTCATTTCATCCTCACAAGACCCTGAGCAAAACAATCCCAATGGTCTTCTCCATTGCCCAAATAAGGAAAGTGGAGTTAAATCCAAGTTAGAGATGCACCCTGGGTAAGGGGTGGTCAGGCTGCTCACTTTGGGTCACCCGCCCACCTACCTCTTGAGCATTAACTGAGGCCCCTACTCTGACCAGGCTGCAGGGCAGCAAGGGCCCCCAATGTCTCCTGGTGAGTGGGTCCTCATCTCCAGAACCGGGGGCCACTCTGCATTCCTCTCATTAGTGGGTGGGGGACCCTGTTCATGCTTAAGCAACCTTACAACATTCAGCTGCAGCCAAAGTCCTGCACAGGTGGGGAAGGACAACACTTTGCATTTCTACAGCACTTCATGCAGAAAGCTGCTGCGACTTCCACTTGCCGCTGTCTTGGGGCTCTCAGGACAGATGCGGGTTGCCCACCTACCGGTTTTCCTGACATGCAGAAGACACCGAAGACAGTGTGCGCCTCCAGACCACGGTGGGGCTGAACCTGGCAGGCCACGTCCCCTGGAGCTCGGTTGACTGTCAAGTACAGCTGAGCTTTACCTAGTAAGCTGTGCTCTGAAGCTAAAGAGAAAGATGAACAGAGATGTCACCCATGATGGAGAATTACAGTAGCATAGGATTAAGTCTTTTTAGTATTAGCCTTATAAGCAGGGGTTCAAAGTGGGGTCCCCAGACCAGCAGCATTAGCATCACCTGAGAACTTGTTAGAAATGGAGATCTCAGGCCCCCAGACCTGCAGACTCAGCAATCTAAGTGTTAACACACCCTTCAGCGGCTTCTATGTACTGGGGTTTGAGAACCACTGCCCACAGCACTCATTAATATAACAATACTTACTGGGTGCTTACTAGCTGGGGCAGGCACAATTCTAAGCCCTGGGGAGATAAAAGGGGACCAGACAGACCAATTCCCTACCCTGAAAGTCAGATAACGACCACCCTGACAGAAAACAAAGTCTAAGGGGCAGAAAACACGAACAGACACATCAGCCCAGCAAATCAAACTTTCTCATTCTCCTGGATCCTCTTAAAGCCTTAGCCATATACACACATAAGAATAGCTTAGTTGAATTTACAGCACTGATAGAATTTTATATTTTCTTTTAATTAACTGTATTAATATCATAAGTGTTTCCCATGTTGTCATATAGTGTCCAAAATTACTGTTGTAAACAGCTGCATAAGATTTCACTGAGTAGGTATACTATAATATGCATAACTATTATTCCCCAATGATTGTTTGTATTTTCCATTTTCTGCTATTATGGGTCACCCTATAATGATTATTCTCATACATAAAAGTTTTTAGCATTTAATGGGTAATGTTTTTCTTGAGATGGATTTTAGGATTGAGATTTACATGTCAAATTATTTAAGATCTTGATAATGATAATGATCATCATCGTAACAGCCAGTACCATTTATGGAGCCTCTGCTACATACCAGGTGCTGTGCTAGATACTGTTCATGTATTATCTTATTTAATAGTCACATTAACCATGGAAGACAGAGCCTGTAACAAAGGTAAAATCCAAGAGGAAAAAGTAACTAATTCTGTCCAGGTGACCAGGAAAATCTCCACCAAAGAAGACACATATGAGTTAACAATCTTGGGCTATGAGGTGTGTACCAGGGCTAAGAAGAGACGAGAAGAGACGAGGAAAAAAGAATGGGCATTCCAGCTGAAACAGCCATGGGGGAAGGCTTAGAGGCATGAAGTGGCCTGGTGTGATCAGAAGAGCACAGGAGGAGAGGTCAGTGGTCAGGGAGGTATGCAAGGAAGGGGGAAAAGAGGCCAAGCTCGCCCACGGCAGCCAGCCAAGGACACTGACCAGGCACTGTGGGCCGGGGAGAGATGCTCAAACATCTCCTGCACCAGGAAGGAATGTGGCCCATCTAAGAGAATGCTCGTCAGACTTGTCGCTTGGACAAATTTCAGAGGCAAAAGAGAGAGATGTCCAGTTGAAGGCAAAAGGTATTTACTGAAACAAAAGCAAACATTGGCCCCCTTGTGCCAAAGCAGAGACCCAGGGCTTAGCTGCTATATGCAGCTGCGTAAGGGACAAGTAGAGGGTTACAGAAACAGTGAGAATCTCACGGAGCCCGACCTACCCAGTTTTCAGAAGAAACTTAACCTTGTCTTTCCTCTTTGGGTGATAAGAAAGTTAACACAGGATGCAAGATGCATCCTGTGTTAATGCATGATGTAAAAATGTGGATGTTGAGCCAAACCTACCTGTAGATTATTGTATCCTCTGTGCTTGTTATATAGAACTAAAAACTTCTAGAAATGGGAGGAAATGTCTAGAAGTTACCTAACAATACGATCTCGGATTGAGTCACAGAAATGCAAGAAGGAATGTGGAGCCCTGGAAAGAGGAAGTGTGTGGGTGAATTTAGACAACTACTGACTGTACAAAGCAACAGCGATGATCCCTTGTTGGGGTTTACATAGAGAGATTATGGACAGATTTGCAGGGAAACAATCAACTTACCCACTTGTCTAGCATACATAAAATACACACGAAGAACTGAAGAAAAAAGGAATTGCTCAGCCTTCACCCTGATCTAAACGTGCGCCTGACTCCCCAGGGAGAGTAAACGCGCAGGCGCAGAAGGCCCCTTCCCCTGCCCTCTAATGTAACTGGGCAACGGTGTGTGGTAAAGTGAGTTGAGACACAGCCGCAAGAGCCTGTGGGGGTCAGAGTGACTATCATTTCCAGGGGAAAAAAACCATGAATACAACTAAAGCCCTTACGGCTCCCCCACACCAAATCCAACTGCCAGCATCACATACCCACAGACACCTGCAGGACGTACGTCTCTCCACTGCTCAGTGAGTACGGCTTGATTGTCACCGTCTGTTCTGTGATACCTACAGAAAAGGACATGGCCACATGGAAATGACGGTTGGTGGGCTCTGAGAAACAAGACAGCAGAGACAGTCCCTGGGCATAGGGCCTGCCCTTACCCCAGAGATAAAGGTAAACTAGGTATCAGTTAAACACGCCATTCCTACTTGGAAATGCCACTAGTTTGTTTGTTACCAGCCTTCTTTAAAGAGTTGGAAGCTCATCTCCAGACCTCGTCTGCCCAGTAGAAGCAATACTGAGGACAGACTGGTCATCCCTGGCTCAGAGAAGACACTAAGCAAGCAACACGCAAATGCTGGGAAAATCTTATTTCGTGCGTTTATAATTGGGTTCAGTATTTAATTTGGCTATTTTATAAATTTGATTTATCTATAAAGTGTGATTAAGGTGTTTAAAAGCAATTTTTAAGTCTTTGCAGAATATTGGTTACAAAAAATTCTTAATCTGGGTGTAACTGCTGACCGTGGGGACGGGGTTGCTTCCTTAGCAGGCTGACGCACACCACTTTCCCTGAAAAGAAGAAAAGCCAAGACACAAGACTGACGATCTGAACCAGGACAGTTTTTAAACATCACAATTTTAAAACGGTACTTCCTGAAATGTTTCAAGGAAAGAGGCAGGAGGAAATCATCTAAAAACAGTGTGAAATCCAGAGCCTCCCTAAGAGGTTGGTAGGGATGACAAAATCACATGTATTACTATGAAAATTGAGCAAAATCAGCACATTTGTGCTGGGATAACCAGTTAAAAATTTAATTTCTCTTTAGGAACAGCTTCATTTTGATCAATTCATGTCAATGGCTCATCCAGGCTACAAAAGGCCATAACAGAAATGTGTACACAAGGCTGTTTGGGCGCAGAGCATGCCTCAGCTCAGCAGCACCTGTCTTCCGTTTTTGGTCTGCAAACATGGAGCTCCTGGTAGCAACAGATGCTAACTCTACCTTTGGTAAAAGAGCCTCCGGCTGATGCCCACAGAGGGATAAGCAGCAGTAGAAAAGGTAAGACAATTCCAAATATTAATACTTATCTATTACAATGAAAAGTTATAGAAGAAATTGTGGGCTGAGATTCAAAACCCTCTGAAACAGCTGCAAATTGCAAGATACAAAGAAGGCATTCATACCCGAGGAGGTGTAGCCTTGGAAAACAGCTCGGCCCACCAGGGCCTTGGGCCAGTCAATCAGGAGGACAGGCACAGCTCTGTCCTTGGGGAGGGAGGGGCCCACCAGGTTATCCCCCTCGCCGGGGCTCTCCTCCTCGGCACTCAAACTTGGTCCTGATCCTGGAAGGCTGCTCTTGTTCCCTAAGGAGATAAACCAAGCCACTGAGTGTTAAAGAAAAAAAGTCACAATTATCTTAAAGCATTAATGATCCAATGTTGATATCAATAACTATTTCTACCATTGCTGGACACTGCATATCTAAAATAATGTCTTCAGCAACTAAACATATTTAAGAGGTGTACTTTTCTATCATATAATTAGTGGTCCCACGGCATATTCCTTCCTTCCTTCCTTCCTTCCTTCCTTCCTTCCTTCCTTCCTTCCTTCCTTCATTTGTTTAGCAAATATTTATCATGGTCCACTAAGTCCAGGTACTAGTCTAGCAACAGGAGATACAGCGAGAACCAGATCAATGGAGTCCTTGTTATCAGTGTAATGCAGGGTGTGTGTGGGGCGTGCAGAGGGAGTCCTTTTGAGAGGGAGGTCAGGGAGGTCCTCTCCAAGGAGTGGCTTCAGGACAGACTCGAAGGAGCCCTTTGAAGATTTCACAGAAGTTTCCAGGTTAAGTGCAAACAAAATGCTGTGGGAATGCCCTTCTGTGGTGTCCGGAGGAAGGGAGTAGGGGCAGGAGGTGGGAAGTGAGGATGGAGGCATTGCCAGGGGCCACATCGTGCTTGTCCCAAGTCCCAAGTGGGGTGGAAGGTGTGGAAGGACAGGTCAGGGGAGTGACCACAGCCCGGTTTGTGGTCAGGGAAGCACTCTGGCCGTTGTGCACTGAAATGACTGTGAGCTGCTAGAAGGGAAGGAGAGACACAAGTTAAGGGGCTACTGCATAGCTTGGGCAGGAACGGATGGCCGGACTTGCAAAGGGTAAGAAGGCTACTTAAAGACTTCAAACAAAGGTCATTGAAACAAGATATAATAATAAAACAGATAAATGTAGAGGGGTTAGAATTACTCGTGTCAGGAAGAGTAATTTTATGAATGCAGTACAAAGGCAGATCTGTTCATTCATTCAATCTTATTTATCAAGTGCCTACCGTGAGTGTGGATGTGAGTCCCTAAAACAGATATTCATGTGCACTGTAAATACTTTTTAATTTTCTACGTATTATGATGTTTTGATATCCTAAAAAAACAAAAACAAAACTCTGGCTAAGGAGAGACTGCCCTTCCTGAGGCTGGAGCTAACTCAATTCTCAGAGATATTAAGGGACACCTACCCGGAGCCTACCTCCTCTACCTGGGCTGCACACCCCAGGAGGCAGTCTTCCTCTGCCTTAATCATCCCAGGCAACTAGGAACCACCCCCAGAGCCCAGAGCCTGCAGAAGTTATTCAAACTAGCGGATCCTAAACTGTTCACCCAGCCCTGCCCTGGCCCACCCTTGCCCGTGCTGTGGAGACCCCAATAAAGGCTGCTACCTGAGTCCTCTCCTGCTCCTTCTACTTCCTGACCATCTGAAGCATCCCTGTGTGGCCCTGTGTGGCCTGCCACACCTCCTGTCTAGGACTGGGAGTATAATAAACTTTGTTTTCCTCTCCTCTGTCTCCTCTGTGGCTGCCCGCCTGACCATCTCATACAAGAACACAGAACAGTGCGACATACAACAAGGACTGCGGAGAGGGCTGAAGAAGCCGGGCAGTTGGAGGCAGTGAGGATTGTCGAAGGAAACGCTGCAGCACATCAGAGGAATAAATCGTCCACTCTTCCTCCATCTATCCACTCGATAATAAATCATTCGCTCACCATCTATCTGTTCATTTGACAAATAAATCATTTACCTATTCACTTGATAGATAGATAAACCATTCACTGATCTCTATTCATTCTACAAGGTGTTCACTGAGTGCCAATGTGCCAGCCACGCAAGCATATACCAGCCATGGAAACCTTCCTCAAAGGTCTCAGAGTAGAAGAGACAGACGCAGGAAGAGTTGATGGGTGGGGGTGCCACATGCTTTACGTAGGTGGTGATAAATACACTGGGCGAGTGGTGGTGGGTCATGACAAGACAAGTCTGGGAATTCTCAGAGAGGGGGAATTGAACCAGACCTGGAAGGAGGAAGCCCACCAAGCAGATGACCTGGGAAGGACAAGGAGGGAGGCATTTTTGGCAGATGACACCCCGTGACCAAGGCGTGGAAGAGCTGGGATGCCCACCCTTGTGCCTGGGACCACTCTTGGGTTTTTGGAGCAACAGGTCCAACAAGGGCAGAAAGAAGAGAGCTAGAAATAAAGGTTTGGGTCAGACCATGTCCTGCAAAGGAGTTTGAAGTCTTCTCGATGACTCTGCAGAGCCCTCCAAGGCCTTGAGGTGAGGGAGCAGCATGGTAAATCCAGATTTCAGAAAAGGGTGTGGAGGAGAGACAGGAGTGAGTCCCGCGTGAACCCGGGAGCTCCAGGGGAGAGGTAACAATCGTAGAATCATAGTCACCTGGCTGTCTTCCTTCAGATGGTATTGCTTCTTGGATATCACTGTAATAGGCTTCAAAATCTAAACGAAAGGACAAAATCAAGATGATTCCTTTAAAATCACAGACGCCCCTGACATTAACACTGACTCTCAGGATGGGTCACGCAGCGCTGGCCTATTTCTAGAGTCCGTATATTGCTTTGTGGATTACAAAGTACCCTCAGGGGCGGGGCTCACTCCACCTCATCACAGCGGGACAAGGAGGTGCCACTGCCCTGGGCCGGGCCGGGAGGAGCTGGAGCAGAAGTGTGGTTTCTAAGAACGGCCTGGCTGGGGAGTGGAGGACCCAGGCTCACACTGGACTCCCTGCTGCCACACCCAGCACCCCGTCCTCTCTTTAAATGAGTCTTCTGTTCTTTTAGAGAAAATGTCCCACCATTTTCTCTTACAAGGAGAGAAATAGACATAAGAATGTGCTACAGCAAATGTCGCTTTCTGTGCCCCTAGACTTCCTCTTCTGAAGGCTCAGGAGCTCACGGGGTCCCTCCTGCCAGCCAGCGCAAGGCTCAGAGAGTGGCAGTGCTGGCAAGGGGCTGCAGGGCCCGGGTGTGAGCAACAAAACCAACCGGCCTCACCCAGCGAGGAACAGGGTGGAATGGGCAGGTACCAGGCCAAAGCTTTTCTCACTGACAGCTGCCTTTTCTCTCCTTTTTTTGAGCACCAAAATAGCCCCCGTCCAGCCTGAAACCCAGTGATAAGGTGAAGCAATCAATCACTAGGGCAGGGGAGGAGGATGAGGAGGATGAAGCTGATGTGGAGTGAACACTGACTGCAGCCCAGATACTGCACACACAGGACCCCGATGCACCCTCAGAACCTGCCTGGGCTCACTGTTGTCCCAGTTCAGAGGTGAGGACCCCGAGACTCAATGAGCGTAGCACAATTAGCAAGTGGTGGGTGCGAGCTCGGCGGTCTCTGACTTACAGGCCTGTGCAGATGTGATCTCACACCTGACCCACCAAATTCCTGCTTCCAAAGGTAACTTTGTTGCCCAGACAAGAAGGATGACGTGCAGGGAAGGGGACACTTACCAGAGAGGTAAGGGGCAGTGTTGGTTGGGGGCCAACTTCTCTCAGAAGGGCTGGTCATCAGGGACCCCTCGCCCTGTGACCCTGGCTCTGGGTCTGGTGGCCCTTCCTTGGGAGCCTCCCCAGGGACCTCGGAGTCTACAGTAGCAAGAATCCGGGGGGCACCAGCTGTGGGTTCTGCGGAGGTTCTTCCTGGAACTGAAAGGGCAGGCCGGCCCAGGGTCTTGGGTGACAACTCCCGTGAGAACAGTGTGGTCGTCACATCGGGATGTGTTGGGCTGGGTTCAGTGGACAGCGGGCTTGGCTCTGGTAACTTCAGAATGGCACCAAGTCCCAAGGAGCCCAGCAGCCCTGCAGCTCTGCAAAAGGGAACTTCAGCAAACATTTGACAGTGTTAAAATTTTGGACCCAAAATAAAAAAACATTTGCTTGTAAAAAACCCCTACAGATTATATAAGGATTCTCTGTTATATATAAAATTATATATATATATGTATATATATATATATATATTGTGTGTGTGCGTGTGTGTGTATATATATAGAGAGAGAGACAGAGACCCTAGAGATAGGGTCTCACTCTATCACCAAGGCTGGAGTGCAGTGGCACAATCAAAGCTCACTGCAACCCCGAATGCCTGGGCTTAAACAATCTTCTCACTTTAGCCTCTTGTGAACAGAGATGAGGTCCCACTATGTTGCCAGGCTGGTCTCGAACTCCTGGCCTCAAGTGATCCTCCTGCCCCAGCCTCCCAAAGTGCTGAGGTAACAGGCGTGAGCCACCACGCCTAGTGAGCATGCTCTCTTTTAAGTAAATCTGATATGAATCTGAAAACCTACACTTAAGAGATAAAGAGTGTGAGCGTGGTTTTCACCTGGTGGCGTGTTGGCGGATAGTAGGAAGCAAACATACGTAAATGGAACACAGGATTCACTGCCATTTCTCCTGGCATTTGCTCTTCCCAGTCTGAGGCGGGTTGCCAAATGCTATGCACCCCCTGCCATGTGTCTTCAGGAAACAACGGGGCACATGGAGTTTCTCTTAATCCTCACTCCTCTACCTATCAGTAAGTATCTAGTATAACAATTCTAAAAATTGTTAGAATTTATGATAAAGGGTCAATAGCAAAGAAAAAAGTGCCATGAGCATACAAATGACCCCTCGATAAAGTCAGCTTTTACTTGCGACCACAGGAGAGCCAGATTCTTTGACACACGTCAATGCGGGGGCTGTCATTCACTTTGCTGGAAAGTTCAACCACTGAATGTGTTCCCTTTGCAAGCTCTTCTAATCCATTCAGCCTGGGCTTTGATTCAGGAAAATTCAATTTACCTAAAAGAATTTGGGAATGCCTCTCTTGCAAGGAAAGGCACAATTGCACCCACTGTCTTCATGTCCCCGTGGCTGCCGAGGCCGGCTGTACTTAGAGCTCGACTCAGGGAAGCTTTGTATGGCCTCACTGAGTGGATTAAAAGAAGAAGTGTGAAGGTCAGTGGGGGCGCAGCACCAGCTTCGCTGCAGGAGGCAACAGGGCCCCTCTGTTTGCCACTCAGAGCCACGTCTCTGATCTCAAATATCACCAAGCGAAGACTGTCTCACTCCTGGCTCACACCTGAGGATCCCACAGCACCTGCAGCTGCATCATTGGTGCCCCACGTGCTCTGGTACATGCTGTACTCAGCCCACCACCACTCCCAGCCACCATGCTGTGGGGTAGTACGGTCCCCAACTCCACCCAAGAAAACTGAATCTTAGAGCGTTGCCTAAGGTCACCAGCTGGCAGTGTGGAGGGAGGACTGGCACGGGCCTTCTGCCCTCGTCCCTCTGCTCGCCCCGCCGCACCATGCAGCACCCCCGAAAGACAGTCAAGATGGTGAGAAACGCAGCCCTCTGGACGGGGGCTCACGTCCCAGGTCCTCTGAACAGTTTACTGTGGCGCTAACCCAACAGAACTGCCTGAGTGGACGTGGACATCCCTTCCACGTCACGCTGAGGGGGAAGAACAGCCCCAAGAGTGTCACCTCTGCTGCTGTCACCTCTGCTGCCAGGCCCCACAGAGCCCCTGTGAGCACATAGGCAAGAGGGGCTGGGGAAGCACAGTGACTCAACAGGGTGATCAGACACCCTGGGGATCGTACTTTGCAAAATCTCTGCAATCTCACGATAACCCTGAGTTTTTTCCTCAATCAATGAAATAAAGCAAATCATAATTTTTACCTTCCATCCTATTCTTTTCTGTTGCATTGACTAAAAAGAGATCCCAGGAGTAAGAAAGATTTGGTTTTTCACCGCAGTCCTCACAGGCAGCTTGCAGAGAAAGTTCTTCATTCCAATTGACAAAGGTGTCTTTAAAGTTGACCCAGGAGATGTGGACGAATCTGGAACATATGAAAGGGTTTTAGATTTTAGGAAAATAATGTGAGGGCTCCTTGGCCACATTCATTCATGTTGAGCGTGTTTAAATCTCCCACCTTGGGTCTTTATTATGGGAATTCAATCGCAATATCACAGCCCCCATGACGGAGTGTGTGGAGTGGCTCACACCGCACCAGGCTCACCACCAGCGTGGCCCTGGTCCCCCGCATCCCAGGCCTGGGCTCTGGCCAACCCTACCACAGAACAGTGGTGTCCACCACACACCCTCGCCTTGCCACCTGCCTCAGTTCTTGCTTCTACCAGCCGCAAACCCACCCTCTCCCGGGCCCTGCCAGCACCGTCCACCTTTGCTGTTCCCATGAGGCCTTAAATGCTCATGGAGAGAGTCAGCCCTGCCTCAGCCCCCGCCTTCTCCCTGCACCAGGCCATGGGTCATGGGCTGTCCACACCCACAGCCTGGACCCACTCCCCTGGGCCTGCATCCCACACTGCCCCCTGACAGGTCCTCTAGTCTCCCTGCTGACCCCACACGCTCCAGAGCACCTATGTGCAACGTGGCTCTTCCTGGCATCACGGGGTGGGCTGGGATTGCTGCATTAGGCCTCGTCAAATGGATTTCGTTCTGCAGGACTTGGGGAGCCTTTAAAAGGCCAAAGACAGTAGAGACTCTCTGAGTGGGTGGGCAGTGCGTAGTGTTTCCCTGTGAGTGTCCCACGCCCCATGCTCGATGGCCCGTGTCTCAGACTCACAGCTCCAAGCACAGCAGCCAAGAGGGGCCACAGCAGGAAGGCCACACAGCTTCCACGGGGCCCAGCCTGTCCGTGTGTGCCGCACATGTACATGTGTGTCTGTGCATGGTGTGTGTGAGTGTGTAAGCGTGTGCATGCTTGGTGGGTGAAGGTGGGGGTGAGGTGAGGGTGGACCTGGGCGAGGAGAGGCCATCTGGCCCCAGAACCCCTGAGGATGTCATCACACAGGCCCAGACTTTCCTGACAGGGTCAAAAGATGCTCATCCAACAGCTTTAGCACTTGGTGAATGAATATTCTAAAATGAACTCTATAATTATCTCGTGAGCAGCAGAATTATATAGCGTGTTGTAGCTTTGGAATAAAAGTAAAAGTGTTTAATTCATTAAATTTAATGATTTAAATTGGGCCCCAACTTTTGCAGCTTTGTGCTGGCATTTCTTCAATTTTACTATGCATCGGAGCCTTAGATAAGCTGAGGTGGCCAGGTCTGTGGGGACCCCAGGTAGCTCTGCTGACCTGTGGGGCCCACTGTCACAGCCCATTCTCATCTACTCAGTCTAATCCTAAAACTCCGGATTGCAGTTCAGGGGTTTCTGACCCCTGAGGAAAGCAGATTTGCTTCTTCCTCCAGGAAGCCTTCCAGGACACACCCAGCCCATATACAGGATGGTAATAACTGCCAAGGTCCCTTGCAGGGGCCAATGACAGAAACAGTGAGACCTGCCTAGGGCCTTCCAGGTGGGCAGTGGGCCAGTCCCAGCACTGCTCCCTGGGTGGACTCCTTGGGGCAGCAGTTAAGGCAGGTGGCCTGGGCCCCGTCCCCCTTGCACACTCACTTAATGACCTGATGCTTGGAGTGGGAAGCCAGAGAGCAGCTGTGCCCACACCCAGCCCAGCAGTCAGCTGAGTCCTGGCACCACGTACTTGGTATCTGGGGCTGCACGTGACCCGTGAATGCTGTTCTGACCTCAGTGCTGCCGGGATTTGGAGTTTTGGTCACAGCATTTCTTTGCTCCTGCCCCCTTCACAGTTTCAGACATCACAACTGGGCCCACACTGGTGTCTGCTCAGCCAGGCAGAGGCCTGGAAGCCCCTGGCTGGGAACTCAATGACTTTGCCTCCTTCCGGCTTTGACCCAAAGCCCCAGAACAGTCCCCCACTTTGGGGGCAGGCGCTATGACAGGAGGGATCCCACTGAGATCCCACTCAGAACCCCAGGCAGTGGTGGCTCTCGCCAGCGTGCAGCCAATCGGACACTGCCCAGAGGTCAGCCCAAGCGTGGGATCTGCTTCCCCAGCCCCTTCCCAACCTGAGCGGTGGCATCCTGCGTGGCCAAGCCCAAACTGCTCGCTGTGCACAGCAGATTCCTTTCGTGGCTGCCAGCACCAGCGGGACACCCGTGCGCTGAGCTGTGCGGAACACAGGGGAGGTGGTACCTGAAAGCCGAGTCAGGGCGGGTGGACAGGAACACCTGGGCCTCAGAAGAGTTCCGGCCGCCACTGGAGATAGTCAGTGTCACAAGGAACTGGTCATAGCTGTCGCTGAGCCATTTCGCTGCAAAGGAAATGGTGGGAGCCCTGGTGTCCAGCCGGTGTGGAGTGGAGGAGTCGGAGCAGGGCCGCCCAGGTGAGCTGGCAGCCGTGCATCCCCAGTGGTACCTGTGGGAGAAGCCATCGCTGTGTGGGCATCCCGGGTGGCAGGGGGTGCAAGGGAACATGTGGGTGGGGAAGGGATGCTGCTTCCCTCGTTCTCTGATGGAACTAAGTGATCTGGGGGCTGCAAAAGCAGAACCACCAGCTCAGGTCGGGCTTCAGTTGGCTCCTCCCAGCTCACTGGCACGAGGCCCTGACCATGCACGGCCACCCAGTGCTCCCCCCTCTCTGTGCACAGAGATCCCCTCTGCTCCCATCTCTGCCCCCTCCCAGGTACTACCGCTGTGCCGCCTTGAGCACTTCTCAAACACTGCATCTCACCCTCATGGCAACCTACGTGACAGACAGGAGTGCCATACTAGCCTCCTTTTAGGAAGAAAATGTGTTCGGAGGCCTCAGGAGCTGCCCAGCCTTACAGCTAGTGAGAGGCAGGACTGGAAGACAGACTCCAGGTGTCTCTCCTCCCAGTCTCATGATCTCCCTGCAGTATGACAATTGCCACATCCAATAAGATAAACTCGGGTGCTCCGTCCAGGTCAACTAGGAAGACAGCATCGTCCCCAACCTTGAGCAGGTAGGTCTTAATTTAGCAGGGACACCACTCAGACGAGCAGTTCCAGCAAGGAGCAATGGAAATGCCCGTGGCTGGGCGGGCCTGGGCCATTCCCCAGCAGTGAGCCCTTTCCAAAGATGTCACCTACGTCTGAGCTGCTATTGATCTCTTCACGGTGCATTTCTCTGTCTGGTTTGTAGGTACTACGTTCTAGACCTCCGTGCAAAGCTTGCATGATGCAGTGCCACAACTGTTGGTTAGCCACCCACCAGGCAAGAGCACCGGCTCCGGCTCACGGGCTGCGTGGAACAACTGCTCTGGGATTCAGGTGGAATATTTTTTACTCCCAAGGAACAAATTCAGCTCATTTCAGCAGCCACACACCCTGAAGTCTTGTTTTTAGGCACCATGCTGGGTGCTGGGGGCGGGGAGGTAGGATGAACAAGATATGGCCTCTGTCTCCTTAGTGGAGAAGACGAGCCTCACAGCCAGCTGAGGGCTTTGCCCAGAGCATGTGCTTGGACTCAAGTCAGTGAGTCCAAGAAGCAGCCGCTCACGTCCCTGGACTAAATAGAAACACCAAACCCCACACTGGGAACGCAGCAAATATGTGTGTGATCACAGGGTTGAGAAAATGAAGGAACTCATGCGTTTATGTACAAATAAATATTCACTGACCAGCTGCTCTGTGCCAGGAACGGCGGAGATATCAAATGAGAGCCCCCTTCCCAGAGCTTACATTCAATGGGAGACAGTCAGCTGATAGTGACCACAAGTGAGCAAATGCTCCACATCAGAGGGAGAACACTGCTATGGAGAAGAACTCCATCGAATCAGGACGGGATTCTTCATTTTCAATGGGGTCTCAGGGTGGGCCTCACTCAAAGGTGACGTTTGAGCAACAAATCAAGGAAGGGCGTGGTGGTAGATGCTGGTTGAACCAAGGGACCAAGTGCAGAAGGAACCCTTGTTGCAAGGAGCTGGGGGAAAAGCACACCAGGTACCTCCAAGCAGCTCTGAGGATGGACCACGGGCCCCCACAGAGCAAGCAGTGGAGGCAGGAAGGGACAGCTGAAGCCTTAGTGGGTTGGGGGCAGGTAACACTGGCCTCACGGCAGCGTGTGGATGTCAGCTTCCACTCCGAGTATAAAAAGGAGCACGGAGCATGGAGCTGTGAAGTAAGGTCTCTGCCTTGGATAACTGGCTGCAGGGGAGAAGGGAGTGGGGGAGACTGGCCAGGAACCCTGGCGGCTCAGACTGGGCTGAGGTAGGGAGGTGGTGTGGAGTCGGTGTTTAAGGAAGAGCTGAAAAAGGGAGGTCAAGGATGCCACTGAAGTTTTTGGCCCAAGTGACAGGAAGGATCCCTGCCTAGGGGGAGATGGGCAGGCTGACCGGGAGAAGGTAGGTTTGTGGCTGAGATGTCTCCAGGCAGTCGAGAGGATGGTGCAGGGGCGGATGTCATACAGCCTGGAGTCGGGGGAGTGGTCTGGACAGAGGATGCGTGTCTGAGGCTATCGCGTGGGGGATCATGGATAGATCCACGTCAGGATGCTGGGAGGGGCCGCTCAGGGCAGGGGCGTGGACAGAGAGGAGGATCAAGCCCTGAACCGGAGGTGCCAACAGCAAGAGAGCCGCCCACCTGGCGATGCACAGCACTCGGGAACCAAGCCTCCCACACCCCAAAGGCACCTCACCAAGCCAGAGCTTTAATAGCAGCAACACCTCAACCTCACATTCCAAAACAGATCTTACTTCAAACACCACCTTAAAAAGCTACTCCGGTTTTACTTCTACCCCTTTCCTCAGTTCCCTTATATTTTGGTCTTAAATAAAACAGTTCAACTTACGAAAGCTGATGCACTTAAATTTTTTTAACTACTCTCCCAATGTTCCAGAGCCCGAGTGTGGGAAGGTGGAGTCTGGGCGGCCGCACAGCTCTGTGGTGCTCACCTGAGAGTGGCCCCAGGATCGTCAGGGTCGAAGGACTGGGTCCCCCTGAGGACGATGGGGGGCGAGGCGGTCCTGGGGACGAATAGGTGTGTGCCCTCAGAGATCACGCTGACCGGGGCGCGGGCCCGCACCTCCAGGCCCACGCAGTAGTTGCTGTGCACCGCGCTGCCTCCGATCCGCACCTGCAGGGCCAAGGACAGGGGGCATCACTCAGGGATGAGGCAGGGACCCATTGGAGCCACACACTCGTCTCGAAACTAGAAAGGAAACTGGCGAATCTAAATGCGTCCTCGGCTCCAACTAAACCAGTCGTATTTGTCAAAATAACCACCCTACTGTGCGCCATCAGAGACGTGGCGGAGTCCACGAGAGGATGAACATTTTGCTGAGTCTGTGTTTATGTACAAAGTTGGGATTTTCCTAGTTTGTGAACACAATGACAACTTTCCATGCAGTTTTCAAACCTCCTCCATCGACTGGATTGTTCCATGGCTTGGCTTTTGTCCAGCTTCCTTTATCTTTCTTTAAGCTGCTTCTTTCTAACCCCCAAACATATTATGGACTTTAAGAAATGTAAATGAAATTTAAGAAAGATATTTTTAAACTCAGGAATAGTGAAGTATTTTATAAATAAGGCATTCAAGGTGTTCTTTCGAAAGTCTGATGCAGTTTGAAAGAAATACAGTCTAACACTTGCTGTCCTCTAACTGGGTCTCGGCCTCAGTCATTCTGGATTTTCTTCATACGGATGCACGAGGTTCCCTGCTGGTCAGGTCAGTCTCTTGAGTGGCACCAGACAATCGAACGACCATATGACCCAAACTCCCTCTCACCCCTCCAACCTCTGCTTGCTCGGCAGCTCCCAGTCTATCACTCTATGAAGGTCGGAGGAAGCACAGCGTGGGGAGCTGCCGGGGAAGATGCAGGGATGGCAAGGAGCTTCAGAAACTGCGGGCTTGACTGCTAAACACAACACATGAGGGCGAGATCGGAGACAGCAGGAGCACCTCATCTGTCAGAAGGTCTCCAAGAGCCAGAGGAAGACAGGCAGGAGCCTACTGAAGAGTAGCGATATGACTACCAAGCAAGCTTAGGCCCTAACCCTGACCCCTTCCACACTGCCCAGAAAGGGGGCCTGTGAACTCTGCTGTCCAGAGGCCAGGGCTCTCAGCGCCTGCTCTTATTGACCATGCTGCCCCCTCCCCAGCCGTACTCCAGCTGCACCCCATCACAGAGCTGGCGTATGGACAGGGAAGCCCTGGGCCACGCCACCGACTCCTTTCCTCCTGACATTCTGGATCACGCAGCACTCACTTGTGACCTCACACAGCATGAACCAGCCTAAAGAGTGGTGATTTCTTCCTAATGTGACAAGACACTTATGGTCTGCAAAGCTGAAGGCCACACACTAGGTGAAGGAACGCCAGAGTGAGGCCGCTGTGGGAGGCTGGCCAGGCAGCCCTCCGTCACTCGTTCGTTGTGACTGGTCTAGTTCACAGTGAAACAAGCACGAAAACAGAAATGGTGTCTGGAAACTTTTCTCAGGGCTTGCCATTACTGTGACATTCCAGAACAGATTCGGAGGACTTGGCTCCTTGAGCAAGGTCAAGGCAGTGTGGGTGCTGAGGAACCCCTGTGGTGAGCCACTCCAGGCACAAGCTGGGAAAGATGCTCAGTAGGACCGCGTGCCCCACAGATTAAAGAGCACAGTTCCTTCACCGCGGATATCCTGGGGCCATCATCTGGCCCCCTTGCCTGGCCTCCCCCACCCCTGGTCGCCATCTGTCCCATCACCCTCCCCCACCCCCTCCTCGCCTTTGCAATCTATTGCTCCCACACCCTTTCTACACCTGTGAATAGACTCTCCTTTCAGGACCCCTTTCACAAAGCCCACTCTTGCAGAAGTGACCTCTCCCTCTTCTATCCCACATATTTTCACCATTTTCCAGCCTGCTGAGGGCCAGAGTGCCAGGCGGTCACGGTGGCTGCCTCTCGCGTGGCCTGCCTCTGATGCTGCCCCCACTCTCTGGGTGATAAGCTCCCAAACTGCAGAGGCGCATGTCCTCCTGACATCCAGCACGGGCACAGGGCTTATTCGAGGCAGGTGCACTGGGAGGTTTTGCTAAACAAATTGGAAGGAGTTTTTCATCTATTGCTTTGCCAGTGTTTGAACATAATTTGTTCTCTTGGGGGGATTAAATATTTTTCTTAAAATCCTATCTACACTTTTTTTAAACTTTTTTTTTTCTTGGATACAATAGACGTAGAGTACAAATGCTGAGCTCTTGTGCCATGGTGGGCATGTTGGTTTCACTGGGCCAGAGGAATAGTGAAGCAGCGAGCTGACCTTGGCAAGGGCAGTGTAGTTCCCGTACTCCAGCGTGTGGCTCGGAAGGACGAGGGTCTGTCTGTGAGTGTCCACAGCAGCAGGGAGGGGGACAGGGGACCCCTCAGAGTCTATCAAGCTCCAGGTATAAGAAAGGCCCTGGGAAATGTCACAGAGGACAGCAGTTTCAAACGTCACTCCCAACCTCACAGTCTGAGACCTCCACACCTAAGTATTGAAAAGAGAGGATGTCTCATTAAATGTCCATCATGCCTAATGCAATGGTAAACTAGAAACTTACTCTCAACTGTACATCTCTAATTATTAGTTTGCATAATCACAGAATGGGCTTCCTAGGGCTGGACTTTAGATAGCACCAGAATAAACTATACAACTGTTTTATAGATAAAAATAAAAAGTTAAAAAAGGAAGAAGAAAGAATAAGTATTTATACTGTGATACCCACAATAAGAAAAAACTTTCTATGTATAAAATTAATGGAAAAATGTCAAAGAAAATATCAGTAGATTTCATTATATGGAAATTTTAAACTTCTGAATGTCAAAAATATAAATTTTAAGATTCAATCAATATACAAAAAAGAAAATTATTTACAATATACATGACAGATATGTGCTTTCTCTATTTTTTCTTTGCTTAAAAATTCTAAAGTCATTCTCAGAAATTATGATATTTAACCCTTAAATACTGAATTTAAATACTAAATCTCTAAAAGCTAAGGGTATTTTCTTACATAAATATAATACTATTATTTCACCTTAAAAATGAACAACGATTTCTTAATATAATCTAAGCCTAGTTCATAGTCGAATTTCTCTAATTGTCTCAATAACATATCATTATGCAGCTGTTTGATTTAGGATGCATGAAAGTGCTTTGATTAAAAAAAATGGAAGAAAAGAAAAAGAAAAGGACTAGGACTATGAGGTTTCTCAAAGTACAGTCTGGGAAAACAAGAATAAATGTTAATTCTTTCCCTTAATTACCAGTTTCAGAGTAAGAGGCTGGAGCACCAGCTACTTCCAGTGGTGCCCGACGTGCTGTGTGTGTCTGCCTGTTTTGTGGGAACAAGAGAAGCTTCTCTCTCTCTTTTGGCATAATCGGTCTCTAAAAACATTAATATTATTCATTCATTGTAGACTTTATCTTTTAGATGCTCACAGTGGCCCGTTTGGGGGCCGGGGTCTCTCTTGGCCTTGCTCTGGCGGCCTTCTGATATGACTCTGCTCGTCTTTGAAAGTGATGGGTTTGTTGCACTATTCTTTCTACTTTTATTTATGCTTAAAAATTTCCGTAAAAAATTTTAAATGTAACTAGCAGTAATAAGTACAAGAAAACGTATTTTCTAACATTAATAAGCTAAAAAAGGACAATGACATGGGGAAATACCAGCTCCTACCCACCCACAACCCTGTCCCTTGCAGCCACTCTGTCTTTCCCAAGCTCCTTCTCCTCCCCCAACCCCTGGGCCAACGTCTCTAGAGTCAGGTCCCTCCATGAGCTGAGGAGCAAGCCAGGCTGGGACCTCAGGAGGCAGTCTCCACGCAGGCAGGGGTGCCTCCACCCTGGGGCCGATGCTGGGTGCAAGGGCTCCCCCTGGAGGGCTTTTCCCCTGAAGTTTCCATAAAAATTGTTAAGGGAAAAACTTCTGGAGGGAGTTGAGAAATGAGATTTAAGAAATCTTGGTGCTCATTATAAATGGATTTTTTTTCACCTTTGGCATTCTTTAAGTGACTTTAGTCATAATATAAATTACTTGCCAATAATTTTTATTGTTTTTGCTCCAAATATAACATTATTCTAGGATTTGCTACAAAACTGCCCAGATTTATACAGGCTATAGCAAATTTTAATACTGAGATGCCAATTTTTAGCCAATTAATAATAATAGTCATTAAAAAATGCAAAATGCACAGTAGGGATGAGTTTCCACAAGGAGGACACTGCTATGCTTGTCAAGGTCCTGGGAAAACTGTGGGAATTATTCCTATGGAAATGCCACGGACACGCAAAATGGTGTACATACAGATTGCCACTGCCAAGCTATATGTAGTGATAGAAAATTGGATACAACAAACATTCAAGCATGAGGGCATTGTTAAATGATGTATAATCTGTACCTATGACTTAACATTTTGCCACCATTAAAATCACATAATCGAAAGACTTTAAGAGAAAATGGTCATGCTACAAGCCAGTTTTGTGATGAACACACGCTTGAGAACACATGTGCTTGCACACACCTCCCACACATAAAAAGCCCCAGGAAAATGCTGGAAGTAAATACACTGGATGATTAATAGCGGCTATCTCCAGCTCGTTGGATTTCAGGTGATTCCATTTTTACCTTCATACTTTCAGAAAATGTGTAAAATAAAGTATAAAGAAAAAATGAAAGTATCAATATGGTTTTGTTTTACAGATGAGAAAGTGAAAATGTTTTACTGATTAAAAAAACTCCAAAAAAAGGCCATGTCCCATGGCTAATCAAGCAGCAGAGTCAGGACTGGAGCGGAAACCCTCCTGCGCTGCTTTGTGCTCTTCCCAGCTTTGTTGCCCTCGATGTTTCGATCCATCTCCTTCACCCAGAGAGCTGCCCAGCAGGTGCGTCACGCTGGCCTAAAGGCAGGAGGGTCTTCCGGGGCAGGTGGCCTATGCTCGCTGATCTCCACTGCCACACTCTGGAAGTGCCAGGACCTGGGACTCAAAGGGGCTGACCTCTCGGGGCTCGGGTGCCCCAGAAAGCCTTTTGGGAAATGCAGCTCACTCACAGATTTTAATTACCGTGTGTCATTTGAGCACCTTTGCCCTGAAAAGGAAAATTTGCTCTAAATCAAAGCCCTCAAAGAAATGAAAGAAATCAAAAGCAGCCCTATTTGATTTTGGTGTCACATATATTCAAATTTTCCTTTCTCCTGAAAACGCTACAGTTCTCAGCCTAATCGGAAAAAAAAAACAAAAAAAACAATACACAAAACTCCTCAAAATGAGCTGTGCTGAGTGCCAGAGTAATATAGGTGAATAAAGGACTTATTCACACACCAGACCCCAGAAACAAGGCTGTCCCCACCCATTCAGGCTGGGCTAGGCCTTTCCCCCACCCCAGAGGACCCAGGCCACCCGCTCTGAAGCTCTTACAGGCCCTCCTTTGTGTAAACTGTGGCAGGATGAGCGGGACAAAGCTGCCCTTCATTCCCCACAGCTCACACGATGCCAAACGGTGGTTCCAACTCAGAGGCAAGGCAGAAAGGAGGCTGGTCAAGGGTTTCCCAGTCCCCAGCCCTACCTGGACCTTCCCAGGCCCCATATTCTTCACCAGGGGAGGCTGGCAGGGCTTGCGCACGATGAAAAGTCGCTTTCTCAGGGTGGCGGTGCTGACATTATTGAAGGCACGGACCTCCACTGTAAACTCTCCTTCCCTGGGAGGGCAGAAAGCACAGAAACGAACAACTGATTTTCTGTACGTGGGGCTTTCATTAACTCTTCATAGCCATCCCACGTCTGCAGAAATACAGTATTTGCTGACAAGTCACATGATGAATAAGAAGCAGCAAGGATCACGGGTTGGTTTCCACAGAGGCCATTCATTGTCCAACTGGACTGGACCGGCTGTCTACCCAGCATGGGTCAAGCCAGGTACCAAACTCCCAGACCAATGTCACGTGCTGTATACAGACAATACATCCACGTGAGGCACATCGCTTCCCTTTCTGGGCAACCCTCCTGGCAGCCACAGCCTGGGCCGCTGTTGCCCACAGGGCTGAGCCAGGGGTTTTCCCTGTGTGACGGGCACCCCAATCCACAACTGAGGGTCTCTGGGCATGATCTTCCTGTTCTAATCCCTGCTGCATGGATTAGATTTCCTGATCAATTTCTTAGGGTCCTGCAAACTCAGGAGGGGCAGGATAGACCCACAACCTGGGTGGGTCTCCAATAAGAAAGTGGGACCTACAGATGGGGACGAAGGCTGCATCGTTGTCTCAGGCTGTCGGAGCACCCAGGGCACACTCTAGAGATAGTGGTGGAGGCACCGAACGAGCCATGTCATTTCCACAGGGCAGCAAGGGCTCCTGGAGCTACAGAGCACATCACCAGGTACTTAGGCCACCAGATGTGCACCTGGACATGTGCCAATTTACCCACATGAAGATGCAGTTCCAAGGGAGAAGTCCTGAATCCGTGGCTAGTGATGGGGCCATGCAGGATTCCCCAGTGCAGCGCTGCGGCATGGATGCTCATGGAAGCCCAGCCTCAGAGGAAGTCTGTAATCTTTCCCTGATGCTGCTACCCTCATGGGCCTTGTTTTCTAGAAAATTCTGCACGCTTTGATATTTCCCTACGGCTACACAAAGGCTTCACGCCAGCCTGAGGCTCAGCCATGGCCATGCTGTCTCCCCACAGCTGTGGGAACTGGAATCCCACTGAGAGCACCTGACCTCCTCAGGTCCTAGAACTCACACTGACCAGAGGCTCGGCTGGGATCCAGCGGTCCTGTTAGTCTGACTTTATCTTATCTCCATGATGCTCTATCCCAGGTAGACAGCGGGTGCTCAGTAAATGTGGAAACGAAGGATCGTGTTCACTGAAGACCTGTGTAATCTGCCCACCTGCCCTCATCCTGCCCTCCTGCACACATCTCCCTGGTCACTCCAAACCTCTCCCCTTGGTACCTCCCCTCATGCCTTCACCCAGGCCATTGTCTCTGTTTGAACCCCCCTCCCCACTTTTCCCTTCGGCAAACTCCCCAAGATTTCACCTTCAGCTCACGTGCAAACGCCGCTGTGAGCTGGTTCTCCAGTTTCTAAGAACGAGCTGTCCCACACGAAGCCCCTGTACGGAAAGTATCTTTCTCTCCATTTGTCCTCTGAACTATGGGCTTCTTGAGAGCCACAGTCGGGCTCATTTGTCTCTGTGTGAGTAGCTGTCACCTACATGGACTGCAAGGCAGGTCCGTAGCAGGGAGCGCCAGGGCCGACGCCTTGAGAAGCAGATTCCCACGCCGCCTGCCCCGCAGTGGCTCACCTTCTGTAGACGTGACTGATGGAGCTGCTTCCCGGGGTGAAGGTGCCGTCCCCGAAGTCCCACAGGTAGGCAACATCTGTGCCAAAGTTGATCCTGCACTCGAAGGCCACGCTGGCGTTTACCAGAGCTGAGGAGGGGGACAGGAGCCGATTGGCCACAATATTCTTTTGCACCCTGATGAGGTGGGGCTTGGAGACCACGCTGCTGAGCCTGCTGGACGCCTTGACTGTCACGCGATACCTGCAGGATGGGGCCAGGAGGCGGAAGGTGAGGTAAGAACAGGGTCAGAGCTAGAGAGAACTTTTACATCACTTGAAGAGAAAGGCAGGTGATGCGCAAAACATTTAATTTGTAAGAATTATCATAGTACACAGTGATTTTCATCTGACTGGGGAGAAGAAGGAATAATCTTTTCAGCCACCACCTCTTCATATTTAATTCACTTCACAGTGAGGGTAAGCACTGCTGTGTTTCCTTAGATGAGGAGGTTTTTAGGTCACATGGGTGGCTGAGATGGGATTTGAACCTAGGACCGTCTGATTTCAAAGTCCTACACCTTTTCACTTAGTTCAAGCTGAAGGGAAGAAAGTCTCTCTTCCTTTGAATCTTCCGTTTGCTTTCAATTCACAGAAGCACTCAGTGGCTCATTATAATACAATGTAATACCCTTAAAATTATTTTATTAGTAGTGTGATAACATTCAGAGTGAATTTAGGCTGCAGTACAAACAGCTGCCCAACATGATGACTGTTTTTACCAACCATTGCGGGATGCTGAGTCTTTTTTTAATGCTTCTTGAAGTTGTCCTCACCGGTGGGTCCTCTCCAAAATGCCACACAAACTCCAGGGGTGCTGTTTCCTTGGTAACAGCTGCAAACACAATGTCTGTGTCTGCAGCAAACACAGTTCCGTTTGTGTAGACAGAGACGGCTGTGGAGAAAGAAAGGGAGGTGTGGCTACGTCAACACAGAAGGGCTGGAATCCACCTGAGGTGTTGGTGTCTCTGTTGTGGACTTGAGTGAGGGGCAGGGAGCCTCCGAGCATGAATGCAGGACTGTGCCTGACGCAGCTGCAGGGACCTGGCCGTCAGTGCTGGCCCGAGTTCAAAGGCCATCAAGGTAATAGCTCATAAGGCGATAAGGCCAACTCCTTCTGGAATTTTGCTCAAAAGAGGATGGAATGCAGAGCTGCAGATGACTGTCTGTGATAACCCACCTTCTCATTCATTCAGATGGAAGCCTTAATGCCTATGGTTCCCAGAAAAGTCCTAGAACAAATTGCAGGTGAATGAAGACCCTGTTCAAAGGCAAATGGATGTCTCAGGCAGAGCTGATAATAAAACCTAGTGCTGTCTATGGGTTTCCTAATCTCAACTAATCTTGTGAGGGAGATTTTATTAAATCTGGAATTAAAACAAAAACATACACTGCATCTTATACCAGACAGTCACGCTGAGCCAAGCCTGGCTGTCGCCCACTCGGGTTTGAGAAATAAAAGACACGTTATGAGAAGGAATAGATGGGAAACGATGCACAACAACAGTGCCTAAAATGAGAAAAAAAAAGAAGAGAAAAACAGTCTTAATTTAATTTACTCATCTCACGCAACACATGGTCAATATTTTCCATTTTTAACTTTGCCTCTTTGAATTTCAATAAATTTTAAAATTCTAAGTATGTGCTCTGAAATCAAACAGACCTGGGAAAAAAAACCTTTGTCAAAGAATTTCTCTAATTAAAATTTTCTTTAAATATTTTCTCTATGTCTCCCTAGAACTCCCTACATAGCAGTAAATATGTTAATTCCTTTGAAATATGTTAATTACTTTGCTAAATGGCCTTGTTTTTAAAGTATTCCTCCCATGTGTTCACTAAGTAGTCTTTATTTCACAGGGGTTCTTGAATGGGGGTCCAAACACAAGCCTCACCCATTTAAGTCCTGTAAAGTGTGAGATTTTCATGCATATATACATATATACACACACCACACACATACATACATACCATACTACACATACTACACACACACCACATATAATACACACACATACCACATATAGCACGTATACCACACACCCCCCACACCCCTGCCCCACACCATACACACACACCATACACATACATCTGTATGTATGTATTAGGAGGCAGATGTCAAACACTGTTTTCTAGAAGAGGATTGTGATGTCTAAGATTTGGAAAAACTCATTTATCATAAAGAAATATTAAGAAGGCAGTAGGGGTTGTTTATTATTATTGTGGTTCTCCTGCACAGTTTTTCTCTATATACAGAGAAAATGCTTGTTTATAACAGAGATAAAGTGCAATGGATATTTTTTCCTTCAGCAACGCATTAGAATTTTTGAAAAATAAATATTGCATAAGAGTGACATGATCTCATTAACAATGCCTGAAAATTAATTCTGAGCACAACCTAGTAGTCAAAAAGTGTATGGAAAGTGCAATTTACAGATTTGCACAAGATTACCTAGTTATCAATCTGCCCGGGCTGGATTAAAACCCAGACCTTCTGATTCTAAATCCTGGCACGGAACCAACAAGGATTTATGAGGACTGGCTCTCACATTGGCTACACGGGCTGCTTATTTATTCAGGTTTAGTTAAGACAAGTCAATATGAATGACCAACTGGCTAGTTAGGGTATGTGGGCAGGTTAAAAAAATCCTCCCATACATATTTTATAATTCTTGGACGGAGAGGGTCTCACCAGGCTGATCATATAGAAAACGCACAGTAAACGTGTAGAACAGTTAGAAAGATTCCTCATACAAATGAGTTCACTGGGACCCACCCCCTCACTGGAGTCTCCTTTTTCCTAATTCTGGGAAATGTGAAAGCCTCATCCCATTCATGCAGGTGGGCGCTTTGGGCTTATATGGCTGGCTCCGTTGTGATGTGTCGGGATTCGTCCCTCCACGGTATGTGGCTGCATTTCCCCATTCCAACCCCCACTGCCTCTGAGCTTCTGGTCACTCCTATGTAAAACTGACAGGTAGCCGTGAGGATGAAGTGAGGCATGTGAGAGGCACCAGCAGAGCACCTGGCACTCTCAGGCGAGCACTGGACGCCGTTTCCTGGCTCTGCGCTCTGGCTCATGGCCATGCCACTGCCCAAAATGGCCCGTGCTGCAAGCCTCATCGTGCACGCCAGCTCCTACCTGATACGCCTGTCCCCACTGTTAGGCACGACCCCATCACCTGAAATCTTGCTGCCCTAGCCATGCCCTTCCTGAGGCACTTTTATGTCTTATCTCATCTTGTTTCCATACATGTCTTCATGCCCTTACTAAATGATAAATTCCTTGAGACTAGGACCTTGCGTGACTTCATTTTGTGTCCCCCCAGAGCACAGTATTCTGTAAGAAACATTTTCTGAATGAGGGAAGAATACATGACGGATGTTGTATCAAATTTAGAATTGCTATAACTCGAATGATATAATGAAAGCACAGAGATTCCTGCTTTATTCATAGCTGAGGTCTGGTTGCTCAGTCTCCAGATAGGGGTCTTACTTTTCTGATTCATGTGGGAGCCAAGAAATTCAAGAACTTCATCTTCATGGACACTGCTAGAGTTCATGAACACAGACAGGGCCTCGTGGCCAATTTCCACATAATAAGGCCCAAGCTCCACTTCAGCTCCAGGAAACTCGTAATAAATAACCGCCTTGAGCACAAAAACTCCTTCTGGAAAAAGAAGAGAGAATGGACATTTGATGAATTTTTAAAAGCAGGCATAACAGCATTTGTAGAGTGGTCATAGTGGGGTGGCTAATGTGAGAACTGATACCGTAATGGTGATTCTTCTTATCTCCTGTGGCACAGGGGCACTTCCTGGGCTTGTCACCCGTACAGTGGCACAGAGCCCCACACTCCACATTGCTCTGTGTGTGGTTTAATGTTCTGCTTTTTTGAAAATCTTAGTAATTATTTTAGCAAGGGGCCTGGCCTCACATTTTCATTTTCTACTGGGCCTTGAGAATTATGTAGCCAATCCTGTGCAGTAGGAAATATTCATAAGAATGAAAATAAGTATTGGTCATCCCACAGCTAGGCAAAACAAAACAAAGCAAAATAAAACAAAAACAAAAACAAACAATTTGAACAGCCAAATGGAAATATATCAAAGAAATATTACGGCAGATTATGAAAATGGCCCCAATCCTGACCCTGTTTGCATATCCTTACGATATGACTACAATATGATTATGTGGCTCCTCTCATTAAGTTATGGAGCCTACGTCTTCACCCCTCAGATGGGTGCTGGTCTTGTGGCCAACGGATTCACAAAGTGCTTGCACCTTTGGGCATACTCTGTCCTGCTCATCTGGGGACCCCTGCCATTGCTACCATGTGAAGTAGCCTGGCCAAGCCTGCTGACGGGTGAGAGACACATGACTGAGTTGCCACATGGCCTTGGCCAGGGCCAGCCCCCTCCAGGAGGAGAGCCACCTGGCTGAAGGGCAGCTGGCTGCAGATCCATGAACCAGCCCGTCTGAGACCAGGCCAGGCCTGAAGGACTCCCAACAGAAGTGTGAGTTAACTGCATGGTTGTGTTTTAAGGCACTAGGTTTGGGGTGGTTTGTCAACATAGCAATAAACTATGGATATAATTCCACTGAAAGGGAGAGGCCTTAGCCATTCTCTAACCCTGATCACCCACACAATAGTCAATTTCTATTAATATCCATGAGAGAAACTATCCTCAAATCTCAGCACCAGGAATAACAGTGTGGAGCGGTCAAATTGTACGTTTGACCATGTCATTTCCCAGCTTGAACATGCTGGGTGACTCCTGATGTGTCGCAAGAGCAAATCGGTAGCGGAGGCCCTTGCGCTTAGCTTGGCTGGTCCCAACCACCGGCCTTTGGCTCCCCCAGGCACACACCTGACTCACCATACATGGCAGAACCAGGCTCTACTCCTCAGGTACCCTGTTTCTACCACAGATCTGCCCCATCACAGCCTCTTCCGGTTTACAACATCATTCCCCATGTCTCCACCTGTCCAACTGGCCTCTGCCGTGAGCCTCTGCACAATGCCGGCAGGATCGGTGGCTCCACCCAGCAACCGTCCACAGAACTTGGATTGTGCTTCCCTCAGCCTTACTACACTGTCTGTCTTCCTTGTCCCGAAACGTCATCACGAGCACTCAGTCGATAACCAATGAAGCCTTATCACGTGACCAGTCCAGTTTTGCAGAATGGAATGCTGAAGTTCAAAAGGTCAAATGATTTGCCCTAGGCCTAGAGGATGCAATGATTTCTTAGGAATTAAGATAGTATCTTCTCTTTTCACTCTCTGTGTTCAAATAATGTGGAATAAATATGTGGATCTAGGAAAGCTGCAAGTAGCAGCACAGTATATAGACAAGAGGGAATGACTTTAAAGAGTAACAGTGCGCCTCGGAGGAAGAGCAGTGCACGAGGCGGTGCACAGGAGGACTGCTGCATACTGTGAACACGGTGACGAGCAGAAGCAGAGACAAGGGCATCTGGTATCAAACGAGTCAAGTTAACATACGCAAGAAATGGGTATAGTTTCCCAAAAGGTATTCTCACTTGGAAGCTACATCTTAAATGCTGAAACATCATTTGTAACTTTATTCCAATTTTCTTGCAGTACTACATCTCACAACTGTGTTTAAAAAGCTCTGCATGGCCGGGCGTGGTAGCTCATGCCTGTAATCCTACCACTCTGGGAGGCCAAGGCAGGCGGATCGTTTGATCTCAGGAGTTCGAGACCAGCCTGAGCAAGAGCGAGACCCCGTCTCTACTAAAAATAGAAAGAAATTAGCTGGGCAACTAAAAATATATATATAAAAAAGAAATTAGCTGGGCACAGTGGCGCATACCTGTAGTCCCAGCTACTCGGGAGGCTGAGGCAGTAGGATTGCTTGAGCCCAGGAGTTTGAGCTTGCTGTGAGCTAGGCTGACGCCACGGCACTCTAGCCAGGGCAACAGAGAGAGATTCTGTCTCAAAAAAAAAAAAAAAAAAGTTCTGCAAATATATTTTAAAGAGTAGAAAATGAAAATGGACACCCATGCAGGTTGTCACACTCACAGGAACCAGACTTAAGAATGTGCTATGTGTTTTATTTTAAAAGGCAGATCTCATAACCACAAGTTAGAAAAAGCAGTTTATACCATAATTAAGAGAATCCTCTATGGACTCAAAGAATTTGGCATTGGAACTGTGTGACCAAATCTTAGGCATATCTTACTTATAAGTTAACTTTAGACTTACCCTGATGGGAAATGTAATACCCAATTCCTTATTGTATTCTTAAAGCAAAAGAAATCAATGAACATGTATTAAAGTTATAAATGCTTAAAATTAATAAAGCAGGTTCTGATTTGAACATGGAGGCATAGCCTTCCACTTAATCTTGTAGGTTTTAACACAAAAGCAAAAAGGAAAACAGTGAACAAAAATAAAAACTCTTTCTTCCTATTTCTTTGTGTGTGTGTGTGTGTGTGTGTGTGTGTGTGTGTGTGTGAGTGTGAAACTGTGGGGTGGCCTGCATGTTCAGAATACAAAACAGATGCGAGAGGTGCCAAAAGCAGCACATATCAAGCATGGATGAGCAGGAACTGTCCTAGAGGAAGGAGAGAAGATGATGCCCTGGCGTGAGAACTCAGTGGCAAAAGGACTCACTGGCTGTGAATACCATCAACATGTACACGCGTGTGCATGCACCACACACACACACATCCTACACTCCATCCGCGAATAGCTAGTTCAGAAAAAAGGCAACTCTTTCAAAGAAAGAAAAGAAAGAAGGAAATAAGGAAGAAATGAAGGAAGACAGACAGGGAAGGAGGGAGGGAGGGAGAGTGAGAGAAGGAGGAAAAGTAGGAAGGAAGGGGGCAAGAGAAGAAGGGGAGAAAAACCATTCAGGAGATATAAGAGGGGAAATTCAGGAGATACTCATAATAGATTAAGATCATTTACCAGAAAAACCTTGTCCATAATGAGATAAAAGGACTTAACAACTTGAGGAATCCTTCACTTCTGAGATGAAAGACCAGAGAGCAGAAATGAAAGAAATTAAGGCAACATTGCAAAGAATAATGTGGAATAGAAACTGCTAAACATGAAAGAAGGAATATAGAGGAAAATATTAGAAGCGAAGGCAAAATGAAATAAAAATAAAGAACAAAAAAATTCGAAAAGACAAAACAGATCTAACACACGTATGACCAGTCTCCCAAAAAGAAAGCTGACATATTAGAATAGGAAAATATTTAAAGATATCATTAAAGAAATCCTCCCTGAATCAAAGGACAATGGCATGCATCTACACATTGGACAGGCACACTGTGTGCCAGAGAAAGTAACAGTGAGACACATTCTAGTAAAGCTGCTGGGGTTGCAATATAAAACAATAATTCTTTTGGCAGCTGGACAAAAACATTAAGTCATCTGTGAGGGGAAGAAAAAGAAGGCTGACCTTAGAGCCATCACAGCATAAGAGAGACTGCATGGTGAATTACATGGAGAGCTTCTTAAGACACAGATTTCTGGGGTCTACTGCCTGAATTTCTGATTCAGGAAGTCTGGGGTGGGCCTGAGAACTTGTACTTCAGACCAGTCTCAGGTGATCATGCTGTTGGCCCACACTTGGAGAACCAGTAATAGAAGAAAATACAGTGAAGAAACAATGAAAGTCCTCAAGAAAAGATCATGTGATCAAAGATTCAAGAGCCAGCAAATTGTCATTCAAATATAATGGCAGCAAACAATTTTGAATATGCAGGAACTTAGAGAATTTTATTCTACAAGTCTTCCTAAAAATTCTATCAGAGGACAAATTTCAGGGACCCAAATGGGGACACTATAGCAAAAGGACTAAGAGGGAGAACTGAATATATTTAACTCTAGAACAGGAACTAAGACAAATGTGGGAAAGCAGGTGACAGGAAAAGTACAAATATCATATGTCCTGACAATGCAGAAATCATACAGCAAACGGGGAGGGAAAGAGATAGCAAGGTGAGAGTTGTAGAATAACGCAGACTGCTTCGTAAGTAACTGCCGGGAATCAAAAGACACGTATATGCAACAAAGCAACCAAGAAAGCTGTGAGAATATGTAAGACAACAAATGGCTAAACATGGGACAGTGTGTATAGGACACTTGCATAGTATACTTCCATTTTGTGGAAAAGAGGGAAAATAACACTTATACTTGCTTATATGCATAAAAGAGGCAAGAAATAGAAGACAGTGGTTGCTTGTGAGTCAGTGGAAGAGGACATTTTAGTATACATCTTTCTAGAATGTGGGGGTTTACACCATGAGAATGTACTGTGTTCAAAACATAATTTTAAAAAAGAAAAAGAAAAAAAATTAAATTCTGCCATTAAGCAGGGAAGCATCAGAATTCTCTGCTCACCCCCATCATCTCTACAGGTTCAGTGATTATCTAAGTAGAATGGGTCCAAGGCTGGAATGTTTGTGTAAAGACTTTTTTTTTTTTTTACTTTGATAGAAACACAAAGTGTTGGAAATTTTAGTGTAAAAGAATGTGCAATATTACATGTGTGTCTGTGTGGACACACATGAAGGACAATTTAAGTGATTTTCTTTTCTTTTCCATAAATAACATTTTATTAGAATATAGCCACATCCATTTATTCACATACCATCTATGCCTGCTTTTGCATTATAGTGGAAGAACTGAGTAGTGACAGAGACTATATGGCTGCAAAGCTTAAAATATTGACTATCTACCTTTACAGAAAAAAGGTAGCCAATCACTGATTTGGGTAAACACCAAGGATTTGTACTGCTGTATCATATGGTAAATATACATTTAATTTTTGAAGAAATGGTTAAAACATTTTCCAGAGCAGCTTTTCCCTTTTGCATTCCCACTAAAAATGTGAGTACTTGCTGCTTTGCATCACACCAGCAATTGATATTGTCAGTATTTTTTTATTTTAGTCATTCTAAGAGTTGTATGGCAGTATCTCATTGTGGTTGTAATTTGCATTTCCCCCAAAACTTCATGTGCTTATTTGCAATTTTTACACCCTTTTGGTGAAGTGTCCTCTCAAGTCTCTTGCCCATCTTTTGTTTATTTGCTTTTTAATTTAAGTGATTTTCAACAGTAACTGTTTTCAGAATTTTGCCTCTGCATAGGAAGAAGCCCAATGTATTAGCTGTGTGACCTCAGGGCAAATCCCTCTGGCTCACCACACCTACCTAGCAGAGTTGAGGGAAAGAGTAAATAAGAAAAAGTGTGTATAGAGTTGGCCATAGTGCAAAACAGTGCACAGACTTGCCTACATGCACAGCATACTGAGGTATCATTACCGGAGCCAGGGAGGCTGACAGAGTCCAGAGGCATGGAGTGGGATTTCCCTTCTGTTCCAAGCACTGCCTCTCAGGTCCCCTAGCTCTGATCTCCTTCCCAGCCCGATAAGGACATGGTGTGCTGTACCTACCTGTCCCATACTGGTGGTAGGCGGTCACCACTGTTGCCTCGGACATGTCGTGAACCCTCATTTCAACCCTAGAACTGTCTCCAAAATCTATCACTAGACAAAGAGCCACTGCAGAAGCCACGTAAACACGGAATCCCAGATTTGGAGGTGCCTGAGCTTCTGTTTCTGGGAAGTGACAGATGACACGATTCATGGCATTATCGTGATCTTGAGCTGGGATGGCTCCAGGAGGACGTGGAATGATGGGACAGAGCCTCTTGGGACCAGACCGGGTTGCTGAGAGGCTGGGGGTGTGGGAAGCGCCAGGCGGAAGGCCATGGGAGCTGTGGAAGAGAGGCAGAGGCTTCAGGAACAGGTCGCCAGCTAGGGAGGGAGGGCGGGCAGGTAGGAAACAGCCAGGCCTGCGAACAGCAAGCTGGAAGCAAGGTCCGAGAAACCTGATGAAATGCCTCACTCTCACTGGGCTCAAAGTGGGGTCCCGGGGCCAGCAGCATCAGCATCCCCTGGGCACTTGTGAGACATGCAATTCCTGTCCCAGCCCAGACCCACTGAATCAGAAACTTGGGTGGGGCCAGCAAGCCCCAGGAGACACTGAGGTCAGCACAAATTTGAGAACCACTGTTCTAGTTGCATTAATAACACTAAAATACAAATAGTTTCTCTCATCACTGAATTCATGGACATGAAAGGTGGTGTCTCCCACAAGTCACTGTGCTCCATGTGGGGGTGGGTGCCATCATTTCTACATTTCTCCACGTAGCTCCTTGTTAAGCAAATCAGTTGGGGAGTTGGGCACAGTCTAGGCTGTTCAAGCTTCAGCTTCCGATAATACAGGACTTTCATGATCATTCTTTATCTGTTAAAAGTTGTTCCAGTTTGAGGCATACAGTGTTGGTACAGCTAGGTAGCTGGCAGCATAAACAAAAGATTTTAAAAAAACCCTCAAAGGAGAGAGCGAACACTTTCATGGAAGTGGAATGGCTTAAGTATCTTAATGACCAATTTTCATGCTCTTTTGTATTTCCCTTCTCTCCAAGTGTGCTATGCATGTCCCCTTTAAATACACCGTCAGACAAAGCTTCAGTCTGATGTGAAAAATAAAGGCAACCGAGTGACATGGGTCTCTGATGGCAAACAGTGGCCAATTACATCGTCTTTGGCTCTATGGCGCGGTAACTTGAAAAGCACCAGCCTCAACTGCAACTATAGTTAAAGCAAACAACGAAGACACTAAGATCACCAACGGGTTGGGCGTGGCTCCTGACTTGGGTCAAGAAAAGGTGCTGGCCTCCACACCACCCTCACCCTCACCCTACCTTCTGGGAAAAGTGGGGAAACGGGAAATTGGCCACAGGGGTGGTTGCTGGGTGCTGGTCTGGGCAGGTCCGGCCGCTGTGGTGGGGTTCCCCATCGTTACAGTCCCAGGAAGCTGCTGCCTGGCCATGCCCTCTGCACCGCACAACTGTCCCAGGACACAGCAGGAAGCCTCGGTCTTGGAGCTGCAGGGGGCGGCTGCAGAAGAGGTGCCCTGGACCTTAAAGTTTAAGAACAGTGCGGGTTCACTGAACGGCCTAGTCCGCCATCAGCGCTGTGTCCTCCCTCGCCGAAAAGCCAACTTAATAAAGCGCCCTGCTGCTGCTGAGGTCTCGGTTATTCAGGTGTGCGCCTGAGAATGACAGGATTCATACTTTCCAGCGTATTAGCAAAGAGAGTCCCCTGCTGGCACCAGCTGGAACTACAAGGCACATTTTTTTTCAGGAACTTCAGGATTGCTTATTAGCATGTTGCCCCTCAGCTAAGCCAATAGAAAATTAGCAATTTCGTAAGGCCATCTATAGCTCTACGAAGTTGACAGCTGAGAGATGATTCTCTTGCAGATAATGAAAATGTGGAGTCTAAACAGGCCCTTACCGTGGTGACAAATTTTAGTAATAACTTCAAACTGCCTGAGCGTGTCCAAAGGATTAGAAAGATAAAATACGGTTCCCTGACAAACTCCAAGGCCACCCGCACAAGGGCCGGTCTCCCAGACTCTCGCCAGCAGCTTTCTGATGCATGCAATGGCAGAGGTCAGATACCAACCTGGAGTAGACCAAAGAATGCTCTGTCGGCTTTCCCGGTTGCACACAGCCACCAGTGACAGGACCTGGGGCCACTACCGCTCCAGACACTTGGGATTGTGACAGAAGGTGCGTGGGGGGTTCTGAATGTGAAGAAAATGCAAAAGAAAAGGAAAGCTGGTAGTGCTTCAGTCACACATTTGGCTCATTACATTACTAATCAGTCATCCCCAGGGCTCTGCTGGAAAGACCCTCACTGTGACCACAGGCCTGTTCCTGGCAGCGATGTGATCAAAGACCAAACCAGAAAGGCTGCAGCAGGTCCTCTAGGGAGAAGGCTTTGGGTAGAGTGGAGCCGTTGGAGCCGTTTACTAAAATCTGTGCCCACCAGGACACTGCTTCAACCCTAAAGGGTTGAGTCACATTCAGAACGACCTCTGTCCGCCCTGTGGGGCCTGGGCTTGGCCAGAGTGCTCTCCCCACAGGCACCGCCAGACTGTCCCAGGAATGCCTCTGTGACCATGAGGGGCCTCAGTGGGAGGCCTGCTGGCAACTACAGGCCTGCTGTCAGTCCTGTGCATTCAAAGCCTGGCGGGAAAGGAGGCTTGGGAATGGGCAGGGATGAGGGCCATTTAGCTGTCACCTTCGTGTCCCTGGGGGCACAGGGTCAGAGCTCAGGAGGCAAGGCCTGGCTCTGAGCCTTGGAGGGGATGTGGGTGCCTCAGTCCCCCTCTGCACGGCAGTCACCATTCCAGTGCCCGAGCCAGTGTTGACCATCAGTGTCTGCTCTGCACGGAGCACTGGAGAGCAGACCCTGGGCCAGAATCCAGTGCAATGTCCTGGCGCCGTGACGCATACTGTGATGGCCAGGCTGCTGCCTGCCGGGCCTCGTGGTGCAGGGACGCACGTGCTGTCACTCCACCGGCAGAAGCCCACTCCCAGGCACTTTCAATGGTACATCCTCCTGGATCTCGCGTTCTCCCAGACAGGCATCCTAAGCCACTTTAGCTGCTCCTAATGTGATATATTTTCTGTTCACCATCCTGGTCGTTTGCTTCCTTTTTTTCCTTTGTATCTCTTTATTTCTTAATGTAGTAATTTTCTTTTTTAAAAAAATCTAACATGTCTTAGCTGAGCCCCAGGAAAAAAGGAAAAGGACATGTGTATCTGCTCGGGTTCAGTGTCAAGGGCTCAGAGCGGGGGCTGGCTTGGGACAGGGGTTGTGCTCACAGGCCTCAGGAGGTAGACACAGTGGGACCCGCCTCAACCCCACTCTGCTCAAAGCTAAGAGGGTCTTCTGTTTCCAGGAAGGAAGCCCCTTTCTTCCCACACAAGCACACTGGCCAGAGGTTTGCTCACCCAACCCCGTGTGGTTTGCTACTGCTGAGGGTCAGGTAAGGACAGCGCCAGCTGAGCGGAGGCGGGGAGTGGAGCCAGAGGGGCTCTGGTGCAGGGAGAACCCAGCCCTGCTCGTTTGCTGTGCTGATTCCCGGCCCCGCATGCATGCACAGGCCACATGGCAGAGACAAGAACAGCATCCCTACTGAGGTACTCAGGGAACACTCATTCCAGTTGAAGATTTCTCTTTAACTGACAATTACTTACATTTTAGCCAAGTTTCTAAATACTTTCTCAAAAATAAACTGCAAAATTCTTCATTAGTTGACCCTAGCATTGGAGAAAATCATCCTGCCTGAGCTATAGAGCACGTTTTCTTAACTGGGGCTCCAGAGAGTGCACCGATCTGTCGAGGAGAATCCAAGAGGAGTGAGACTTTCACCCGGAGATGCTCTACCCTGGATTGGATGCCACACAGAAGGACAACCAAAAGGGCCTAAGCTATCAAACTTCCAAGGCACAGACAAATCCCTCCCATAAAAGGAAGGAAGGCTTACTGTTAGCAAAACGGATTTTGAAAGGCAATTTCCTTGGGCCTGCCCATCCAGTGCTGCCGCCAGCAAAGACTCGGATTGAGAGAGTCGTGGAACAGGGTCAGGTGTGAAGAGTGGCCTTTCTTCACTCTGTGGCCCTCACCGGCTTTTCTTTTCCTAAATTCCCACGCAGCGGCTGAATCATGTGCTTCCCCAGTCACAGGGTAGACCTGGACCTTGGTCTCACAGGGCGTGCTGCCAGTGTCACACTCTGCCCTGGCTGCGTCCTGTTAGGTTCTCCCTGACCTGCACCCCAATCTGCTCTCTGGAACGTTAGGGCCATGGCCCAAGGCTTGGTGGGAAAGGCCCAGGAACACAGAAGGGCATGTGTATCTGCTCCGAGCTTTCTTCCTCCTTCTACACTTGCCACATGGAACGAAACATGCCTCTGACCCTGTCCCTTCCCTGCTGACACCCTGCCGACCCCAGAGTGCCAGAGATGAAATACGCTCCCAAGCAGGGCTCCCCGGGCTCAGATAACGTGCCTGCTCCATCCTGCCTGCGGCCTTTCCTGCCCACTTCCCCTCCCCAGTTCTTGCCAGACACCAGCACGGTGGACTTCGCAAGGCCCGGCCCCCTTTCCTGTGAGAGGGCCTTGCCCCCTACGCCACCCACACCAGGCCTGGCTGTTTCCTGGGAGAGGCTTGCAGAGCCAGCCATTGCACTCTCTCTGCACAGGAGTGGCCTGTCTGCAGCCGGCCTGCTACCTCAGCTGGGACCCCAGAATGAAGAGTTAGTAGGTTGTACAGCTACATGTGGGCCACAGGAGACATGAAAATAAACTTTTGTATTATAAACCACTGGTAGTGAAGTTGTTTGGCCCTGTAGCACAGCCTAGCAGAGGTGGCTGCTACAGGTAGATACACGGTTTACCAATTTACTCTAAAACATGCTACCTTCTTGCACCTGCCTGCCTTTCTCCTTTTCGTTGGAATGTTCCTTCTTATTGGAGTGATTCTTTCCCCTTGCTCTACCTAACAAACTTCTACTCAATTGCTGAAGCCCAATAGCAATCCTCCTGTGTCTTCTCAGACATGGGCTATTGCTCCTTTATGGAATCCCAGGAAGTTTGGAGTATAGCGGCATCTTCTCATTTACCATTTGTAATGTGGTCTCCTACACTGAACTTCACCTTCCCTGAGTGGGGAATTGTATCCTGTAAGTCTTAACACATTTAATGCCTAGCTTCAACAAAGGGTGGGGTGTTTTTTTCAGGGGGGTTACAAATAAATAAAAGGTACATTATAAGTAATAGGTCAAAAGTAAAAACCAGGTAGACTGGAGGTAGATCTGAGAGAACTGTGATCCATTTAGCCGTTCTTGGTGACACTGATGGGCCATCACCAGGAGCTGCCTTTGAACATGACACGGAAGGTGAAAGCAATGGCACAGCGATAGTAATGAGGAAGAACAAGGAGACGTCTGCATTTACTCAATCTTGTTTTCCTTTAAGAAAGAAAAGTTGAATTTGTTCTTTGTATGCTTAAATGTTTAATTTCCATTACTAGAGTAAAACCATAGATTTCAGGAATACTGTGACATTATAGCATCCAGAATGCCAAATATTTTTTAGAATTTTTGATTGCCTAACACAATTTTTTTTAATTGTGGTAAAAAACAATAACATAAGATTTACTATCCTAACCATTTTAAGTGTACAGTTCAGTGGGGTTAAGTATACTCACATTGTTGTGCAGCAGATCTCCAGGACTTTTTCATCCTGCAAAACTGAAATCCTGTCCCCATTAAATAACAACTCTCTATTCCCTTTCCCCCAGCCCCTGGCAACCACCATTCTACTTTCTGTCTCTATGCATTTGACTACTCTATGTATCTCACATAAGTAGAGTCATATGGTATTTGTCTTTTTGTGACCAGCTTATTTCTCAAAACGTAATGTCTTCAAGTTGCCTCAAATGCTAGTATGTTCAAGCCTGCATGCTGGGCACCCATGAAATAACCAGTTATCATTGTCTCTAGTACCTGCATTTAGCTAAGGCTCATGGGGTTCCTTTCCAGAGTTCACAACAGAAATGGTGACGATTCTTATACGGTACCACCTTGTATGGCTCCCAACATTCAGGGTTAGGTTTCTCATACTGCTTGGTCTAATCCTGCAAATTAGCTTCAAAATACCATTCTTTGTTTTGTCATGTTAAGAGTTGCATTTTTTAACCCGACCCCAGCCTGTGTAGGAACAAGCATTGACTTTGACTTCTGAGCAATTTTTTTTAAGTCTCCTGCCATTTGCATGTTCAGAAAAGCGTGATTGAGCTGTGGTTCATTGACCTACCTGTCGGCAACGTCATCCCAATCCAGAGAAGCTTCTGTTTTTCCATTAACACTTAACACTCCTTTACTAGCTGTTTTCAAAATGTTCTGTAAGGAAAAAAATCATGAAATAATGTGAGAGCTGCTTATGAAAACCCAGCGCATTTGGGAAAGTAACACTATTTCATTCACAAAACAGCAGCTGACTCCTGCTGTGTGCCAGGCACTGTACTGGACACTAGAGAAACAGCAGTGAGTGAAGAAAGCAAACCAGCTCTGTTCTCATGGGGCTTGCATTCTCCCCATGGAAGCCAGAAAACAGACACACAGATGTAAAAGCATATGTTGGTGGCCGTGCTGCTGGAAGAATAAAGTGGGCTGAGGAATTAGAGTCGGGTGTGACTGGGGTGCACCAGGACAAGGAAGGTGACATCTGAGCAGAGCTGGAGGAAGAGGAACGCAGAGTTGTGTGGAGGTCAGAAGCACACCTGCCTTGTTGGATGAGCATCAGGAGGCTGGTGGAGCTGTGGCCACTTGTGGGCACCAGGAAAGCACAGGAAGTGATCTCAGAGTTGGGGAACCCAGGTGGGGTCAGACCAGGACTTGGAGTTTCATTCTGAATGAGACGGAGGGTTCTGAGCACAAAAGTGGCACGATCTGACCTACTTTGGGGAAGCATCAGTCTGGCGACTGGGAGGTGGGGGTGAAAGCAGGGGACCTGCTCAGATGGCCGTGAGGACAGCAGGCCTCCCATGTCGCTGGCCAGGCGGGCGATGGCTGCCTGTGTGGCTAGTCCAGACAGCAGGGCTGGTTGCTGGACTAGAAGCAAGTAGAGCTGAAGAAAGAACTCAGGACAGCTCCAAGGGGGTTGGCCTGAGCAAAGCAAGAACTTGGGTGGGCTGGGGATGTTTACGGGCAGCTGAGCGGCACCCAGAGCCTATCTCAGTCAGGCTTTGGTTGACCTCAAGTTGACCCCTGCAGCTCTCTTTGTGACAACATCTCCATTCCTGTGGCACCAGGACGGCAGGGAGGCACCCCCGGCATGAGAGGAAGGGACGGAGGGTGCTTCTGGCCTGCTGGAGGCTAGCCACCTCATTTCCCACACACGTGAAGCCCGCCCCTCACAACCCCACTGTGGACGCAAATACAGAAAGCAGCCACTATCCTTCAGATTGAGGGCCCAAGGCTTCACTTTGGTTCTTGATATAACTTTCACTAGAAGTATTAATAGTTCCCACCAATTAACAAATTGGTATAGAATAAGCAACAGCCCCTCCCCTCTCTGGGGCATGTGCACAGAACTGGGCGTGCACCAGTCACCTGCCAGCAGGCCATTTACTCCAAGTGCAGGAAGCCGGATGCTTCCAGCTTTCAGGAAAAAAACACAGGCACATGTCAAGAAGGCCAGGGTGGAATCTGACAGGTGCCAACTCACACCTGGGTGCGTGTGCCTAACACCTGATCCTCTTCTGCTGCAAGAATAGGGGACCCCACTGTGGCCTTCCAGAGCAGGACCAGGGTGGATCCTGGCAGTTTCCTGAGGATGTGAAACCCAGGGGCTGAGGCAGCTGCACAAGCCTGCAACCCCTGAAAGGTACGGCGAGCTGGTTAGCAGCATGAGGCAGCTTTGCAAGATCCTATAACCACGCCCGATCGGCAAGCCCGACACACGCAGGCCCTGGTGTATGGGCCCACTCGGCCTTCATTTGAGTGTGGGCTGGCCAGCTCCAGGGGGCTGCAGAGAGCAGAGCAGCTGGAATGTGTGTGGAGCGGGTCTCACAGTCACCAGAACCACAGAGGCCCCTGATTGTACACTTCACCAGCACCAAGGCCCCTGGGACATGATGATCAAACCTTGAAGGCATCCATCTGTGCCCAGAGCAGAGCTCCCAAGGGCTGCACGTTGGAGTCACCCAGAAGCAGATGCGGGCGTTGGGGTGGGGTGGGGCTGGTGTAAAGGCACCAATGCCCTGGGCCACACCAAACCAACTCTGTTAGAATCTTCAGAGGTCAGACTGACCCACCGTTTAGTTTGATTTGTTTGAGTTTTAAGCTCCGCAGATGATTCTGCAGAGCAGATCTGCACCACGTGTTCAAGAAGCATGAGGTTTGCCCGCTTTTGTCTAGACGAGGTGGGGGGGAGGTGAAAACCTCAGGAAGCACTGGATGTGGCTATTTGTTTACACTGTGTGGTATGAGAAATGCAGATAATACCGCCTCCCTCTGAAACACCTCTCCCCAACCTCCTATTTTCAGACTATTAAATGCTCACCTTTGCTAAATATCCTTCTTGGGAACCTGAAAATACCTTTGAACTTTCCCTGCCAAGAGCAACAATGGAACATAGAAGAGTCCCCAGATACAAACATCGTGGGTTGGCGTCAAGTTAACTTGTCAAATTTACTATGTGTGGGGGTGGGGGGTGGGGGGAGGGCGTTAATGCTGCTTTCTACAAGAAATATCAAAAAAATGAACTATAAGATGATCTTTGCCAAGGGCAGCAGAGATTCTAGGAGCTTCTAGAGAACGGGCTTCTTTGAATTTGAACAAGCCCACAGTTCTGGGTTGGCTGTGTTTGTCTTTTTGAAATCAAAGCTCATTCTTAGTCAGAAGCGTGTCCTACCCAGGAAGATTCTTTCTTCTTTCTGTCCCAACCCCAGCAGGCAGGAGTCACTCCCCCAAGCTCCTCCTCTGTCTCTAGTGCATTTCCCAGGCCTTTAGCCTCCGTCTCTGTTGGCTACCCTGATAAACAGATGCGAGTGATTTCATATGCCTCCAGGTAGTACAACCTGAATTAATAGAGACCTTCTAAGAGCTCCCCCAACTCTGCAAAAACACTGGGCTTTTGATGCTTTGGGCTGCTTGAAGCCTTGCCTGTGTTGAAGCCACACGAGGGCCTGCCCCCACGCCCACCTGAGGGCACTGAAACATGGAGGCGTTTTCGAGCTGCGCTGTAGACATGTGCTGTTTTCAGGAAGAAAAGCCTACTTTCCTCAGATATGGAAGTAGTTCACCGTAAAGAATACCTTCTCCCATGCAGCCGATGGGGATGGGTCCTGTGATTCCTGGTCTCCTTCCTGCCCTTGAGAAGCACTTGGAGGGCAGCCATGCTTCTCATCGCTCATAAAACACACATGGCTAGCGCGGACCTCTAGAGAAGAGAGAAAACAAACTGAAGACGACAATGTGCAGGACAGGTGTGAGAATGGAGCTGGAGCAGCCTCGGGTGACGCGTGAGGTCAAAGCCACCCTGGCCTATAATGGGGTGATCATGAAGACACGCATCCTTGCGATGTATCTGACTGGGTTGCCTACCCTGGGTTTTGTGTCTTGTCTTTTTTTTCCCCTTGCTTTATACAATGTCTGAGGTGTAGCACACACTGGGTGATGTCAGGGAACATGCGACCACCGGCCATGCTACTGAGTAATGCCTCTTCCAGAAACACACTCAGTGGCCTGGTCATAAAATGAGGAGGGCTAAGGGTCCCAACTCAGGGAGTGTGGAGGAGAGCGGGAGAAACCGCAATCCAAAGGAATGGCGGGGATCTGCCACGCGAAGGGGAAGACCAATAAAGACATCCCAAAGTTTAAAAGCGGGATATTCCCAAACTGGCCGCGACCACAGGAAGGACCTGGCCAACATTCACTCCTCCCATCTCTGAGGGCCAGAAGGCCAGGCAGCCAGCAGGGTCAGTGTCCACCTGGCCAGGACGCCGAGGGCCCTGCTGTGTCCTCCATCTGCAGGGAGCAGATGGAACAAGCTGGGCACACAGCTGATGACGGGTTGATGAATGTCCGCGATGCCATTTTCTCTGCTCGTGCGAATGTTTGAAAATGTCCATAATAAAAGTTAAAGAAAATATTTCTGCGAGACCTGGGAGATGGCTCCTGAGCAAGAAGCCAGACGGCTGTCCTGGGTGCGAGTGCTGCCTTCACCGCAGCCCCCACCCCTACCCGTCCCCGGCAGGAGGCGAGGGAGGTGGGGCGGAGTGCGAGAAGGGGACGGAGAGCGCCGTGCTGCCTTGCTGTCTGACCTGAGTATCTGTAAGTGAACACGGTCTGTCTGAGCCCCGCTGACACCAGTCTCTGCCTGGCAGGGACCCGAAGGCCTGCGGGCAGCCCAGAGCAGCAGGTTCCCAGCTGTGCCAGGCCAGGACCGGGCCGTCCTCACAGGGGATAGGTTTCAGATCACTGCGTCCCTGAGCAGCAACACAGGCGGTCAGCTGTCCTCTAGTTTCCCAGGACAATATTTCCCGGGACAATATCGACTTTCTAACACAATATTGAATCCAGTTTGAACATTTTGAGCCAACACCACTGTTTACTGTCAAGAACACAGTGTATTAATATCTCGTGATAATAAAAGCTGAAGAAAAATAATCGAAGGCCATGTTCCTGAGGATTCTTTAAAAATATGTTACGAGTATTAATTGAGCTGCCAACCGCAGGCTGAATGTGTCAACTTGGGTATGAAGTAATTTCCTGAACTGGACATGTCCATGAGGAAGAAACATTTAGAAAATGTTTTGGAATGAGCTACAGTAGTAAAGTCACTTATGTTTATTTGAAACCAATTAGTCATCAAAGTCACTGTGCTCAAATTATCTGTAGAAAAAGTCTGACCTCCTAACATAAGCTGACATGTCTCTGAATAGGAAAAATTATGTTAAAAATCATAAAAATACATAAAAGTATAAAATTACATACACTAAGTCACTAAAGCAGAAATAAACTAAGTGAATGAAACTATTCCACATGGTCTTCATGGAAGAGTTGATTGATTCAACACCGATGCCAAGCATCCCCCCCCACATACCCCATTTAAATTGGTCTCTTTAAAAATTTAAGACTTTAAAATTTTTCTTTAAAAATTTAAAAATCAGTATTTTTACAGCTCCTCAGATCTACCAAATGCATAGCCTATTTTGAAACTTTGAATTTTTGAATTTCTTCTATTTAAAGGAATACTGGCAATTCAATTTCAGGCAACTATTTGGGATTTATATTTTAAAAATTAGTAATGGACATATTCTCTTTGTGTCGAGGAGGAAGAAAACCCCCACACTGTGGCCATGGAGCCGTCTCCTACAACCTGAGCTCCCCCCTCACTGGGCTCTGGGGGCCCCATTGTGGACTCAGTGGTTCTCGAAGTGTGGACCCTGGGACCCCGAAGCCCCACTCTAGTCCTCCTAAAGCAGGCGGTCAGGGCTGGGCCCCAGTGAAGGAGTTAAAAATATACCATGCTGGCATACTGACTATTTAAGTTAAAGGCACCGGAAAAACAGCAGGTGTCAGACTATCACTCTGACCTTCATTCTGTTTCTTAAAAAGCAGAAGATGAAATTCCCACAGGAGAGATGCCCTCCCTATACTAGAAAAAAAAAGCGACATTCTTACCGTCAAGGACGGGAAGTTGAGGCCACGAGAATTCTACACAAACCAACCTTCTTAAACTAACCTCATCTCCTAGTCACTTCTCCATCCTCTCAACTGCCCTGTCCAGGCCCCTGTGCCTTGTCACATTTTCACAGTTTGCTGTTCTTCGTCCGATTCAATGTCTAAGTAACAGACTCTAACTGCCTCTCCAGGTCTCCATTTCCCTGTGAGGGCTCCTGTGCCATGTAAAACGCAGGCTAAACCAACGTGAATGCCTTTCCTCTGTAATCTATCTACGTCATTTAATTTTCTGCGCTGCTGGAACCCTAAGAGGGTGGAGGTGGAGTTTTGCTGCCCTATATCAGCAACCGTGTTTCATAAACCCTCTGGGTCAGAAGGAAGCCTGGGGAAGAAGGGTTCAGACAGGGCCTCCAAATCCCAAGCTGCCAGCCGCCAGGGGCGCTCTGCGCAAGCTGCTTGGCCTGTGTTATTCTCTATTCCGTTATCTAGAAACCTGAGTGGTAACAGGCCTCCCTATCCATGGGGTGGGATGAAAGGCCGCTTGTGGCCAGGACTGGGCTCTGGTGGCTGCGCCCCCTTTCCCAGGGCCTTACCGACCCCTGCTCCACCGTGGGGAGGGCTGTGGCTGCAGCAGCACAGACGGAGACCCCCACAGTCCTCGGCGCTGGCAGGCCCTTGGCCAGGCAAGCAGAGGGAGCAGGCAGCCGGGAGACTCCTACGGGGGAGAGAGTAAACGGAGGAAGATTAAATTATGCACAGTCGTTTGATCGCAACCGTCCTGTCACCACTCTTCGAACCATATCCATATTTCTGCCACAATTTGCTCAGCACGCCACTGGCTGCTTTATGAATGGAGAGTTGCTCCTGTGGTTTTTTCACCTTGTGTTTTCCAAATTTGGGGACTCTGTGGGAAGGCTGCTGAAACGTGTTCCCATCTGACTGTTAGAAAGGCCTCCTCACAGCCATCTCTCCTGCCCCTCCAGGCCCTCCGGGGCTCAGGGGCCCCCAGGGCTCCTCCTGTCCCCCTTCTCCTGCCTCCCCATCCCTGTCCTTGCCCCCAGAGCAGCTCTCTGGCTCTGCGTGGATTTGGGACGACACAGAAAGGAACAGCAGACCCCGGGACTGACACAGCAGGCGCTGCACACGCCCTTCCCATTAATCTCCACAACAAACCTGAAAGGTTAAGCGCGGTTACGGTTCCGAGATGGGATGGTGGAGGCCCGGGGACACGAGTTAGCTTGGCAAAGCTCACACCGTCAGGAAGTGGCGGAGCCAACATTTAAACCTGGTCCCCAGGCACCCAAAGCCTAACTCTGTGGCACCATCCCTCAAAGCCTCCCACCGGGGGCGCTTGCAGAGCTCAAGCTGCAGCTGGAAGTCCACTCAGCTCTGCCCGGCCAGATGCTACCCCTGGGCTCCCTATCCCCGGACAGCCATCTGCTGCCCTCCTGCTCTCCTGCAGAGGTCATTGCTGGGGTCCTAGTCACTCCCCTCCAGGCTGTGGCTCCTCCTTGGGGCACGGCACTGAGGGGAAACAAAGGCCCTGCATGGCCTCTTCCTAGACAGTAAGTCACTTTGCCCCTATAAGCGCCAGTCTCCTTGTTCTCCTTCTCCGTAGGAGTGACAGGGACTCACTTCACAGGGCTGCCGCCAGGACTGTCACTCCAGAAAGGGCTGTCTCACTAAGCACTCAGTAACCAAGGCTGGGTTCCACCTCTCCCATGAAAATGCATTCTGCTCGGTGGTATTTTTTTAACCTCTCTTGGGTGTCTATGAAATCCAGAGGATATACATTTTAACTTAAATAAGGCTTCTGCTAAGATAAAACTGTGGGTAGTTCTCCCAATTTTTACAAGCCTGGTTCTTGAAGCAATAACCAAGAAGCCACCACCAGAGGGCAGACGAGGACACTGTTTAAAGGGAGTTGGTGGGAAAAGTTGTGGGAGAGGTACAAGGCTGTATTTTGAAAATGAAAGACAGTCACTACGTTGAAGGGCTCTGTTAAACTATTGAATCATTTTCTTGTCTACCCTTAACTATGCTTGTCTGCCAAAGGCAAGGGAAATGGGAAAACGAAAACATAGAAAAAGGGACAACTTTGGAATCATATAGATCATGCTACAAAACTTAGAGGATTTTAGCAATGACCTGGAGGACAGATAAAATTGGGAAAGGACCAACCTAACCTCTGTCCACTGCATGCACCCTATAGCCCACAGCTGGGAGAATGCCCACCTCTCTGGGCCAGCCAAGGTGAGATAACCCTGGTGCCAACCAAGCTCCCACACCCTCCCAGACCCCACATAAGGATGACGTTCAAGTGCCATGTAGAGAAAACACCTCCTGGTGGTTCCTGGCACAAAATCAGCCCTTGAGGAAAACTTCCTGCTCCTGAAGGTAAGAAGTGAGAATCACATTCCCGATAAACACAGATGTGCACTCGGGTACTTACAGAGGCGCAAAAGTTAGCACGCAAGCTAGTTTTCCCTGAGATTTCAAAAATCTTTTCAAATAACACAATGGGGGAGGGGTGAAAGAATGATTTAAACATAATGCAGGTTCTTTCTCCTGGCGTTATGAGGAGGATTTAGGCGCCCAGGCTCTGGTGACAGAATCAGCACCGTTTTCACAGAGGCAAGCCGGCTGCCTCTCCATAACTGTGCACTGTTCAGGAGAACATACAATGCTGGTGGCATTCAGACACTGGCTCGGAGGCATCTTGTACCTGAGGATTGAGCCATTTGTTTGAATTGCAATACAGATCTTTCAGAATTCCTTAAGAGTGAGTGTTTTTGAGCAGTTGGAAGGTGAGAGCACTGAAGCTGAACCCTCATCTTGAACAAGTCTGGTTCCCAGCAGCCGATCCCTGAGCCCGACGGGTGCTCCCGCCGGTTGTAAAGGCAGAGGACAGGGGTCCCAGGGAGCTCTGGGCTGGCGGCTCCTGGGGCCAGTCTACCTCAGCACACACCCCACAGCCCACACACCACACCTGCCCCCCACACACATACACACACCACACACTCCCCACATACCACACACACCCCATACCCCACACACCCCCCACACCCCTCACACACACACCACGTACTACGCACACAAACAGCACACACCGCATATACCCACATACCATACACACCCCATACCCCACACACCCCCCACACCCCCACACACACCTCCCACACACACACCACTGTACTACGCACACAAACAGCACACACCGCATATACCCACATACCACATGCATGCCCCAACACACACCATACCCACCACACCCACCACACACAGTACACCCACACACCACACATCTGCACCACACACTCACAGACTCACACCACACACACCACATCTCACGCAAACACACACACAGAGACAGTTTGGGCCTAACTCCGTGACATGGCGGGCGTGGTAGAGCCAAGGAAACCTCTTCTATTTCCGCACAGGAGACCAGCTGCTGTCTGCTTTAGTTTACCCAGGAGATCCCAAATGGCCACACCTTTGGGAGTGGAGACTTGATACTTGTTAAAATGGCTAATTCGTGCATGAGCTGTTTGGTCTACAAGTATAAAATGCAGAAATAAATAGTGATGAATGATTAGATCAGCAACTTCCCTTCCTCAATTTTTCTTTTCCCTTCTTTACTAAGGACAAAGGGATAATTCCTTGCAATTCCCTGACTAATAACAGCAAATGTCAAATGGCACCAACATCAGGCTTTGGGAGTCAGCAGGAACAAAGGAATTTGGAATAAGAGAAAAATGAGCTAATTAAAGAGAAACAAGGGGAAAAAAATCTGTAGCCAAAATCAGTCAACCTTGTTAGCAGTGACACAAGGCAAAGAAATTTCCAAGCATTAATGCGGCCCAACCTGTCAACAAGTGCAGCCTAACTGTCCTCGCTGTCGTTTGCTTTGGGTTTCTTTGGTAAAACAATGGTGACGACACAGAGACAGTGAGCTACTTGGGCAGAAATGCCAGCAGCGAGCGCGGGTTAAGACTGCTATGGATGTGACAACCGGGCTACTCAGATTTTCGGGATGAGACACCCGGGGGGTGAGGAGGTGAAGTGACCTGCAAGGTCTCCAGCTAGGACGTGGGGGCACATTCACACCGAGCAGTTTGACTCAGAGCATGTGGCAGCTGGGCACCCAACTAGGTGAGGTCTGCAGCCACGGGCACCCCTTGTGCCAGGACAGGGGACAGCCAGGATCCCACCTAAGTTCTCGCCACATCCCAGAGGCAGGCCACCTCACCGGCCCTGTGCTCAGGGAAGAGGGCATGGAGGTTCACGCCACATCATGCCACCAGCAGAGCTCACTGGTCACCTGGCTTCTACAGTGGGTGCTTATGCGCAGAGTGTAGGGAAGGGGGTGTAGAAATAAGACCCGTGGGCCGAGCCCCCGTGAGTGCTCCCTTGTGCTAGGTTTGTCCTGGGCTCCACACGAGGGTCCGGCAGAGAAGCAGACAGCCTAACTTTGTCCATGGCCGGGCAGCTGGGGGTCCTGGGAATTCAGAGGCATCCTTGGTTTGCAGGAAGAGTAATGGGCACTTCTCAGGGATAAAGGCAGCTGCTCAGAAGAGTCCTCTCAAAGACTTCGGGAATAAACCCATTCTCAGCACCCACTCCAGTCTTCAAGCTGACCCTGCCAGGGCAACTGCATCCTGCCGCTACAAGCCCTCCGCCCTGCCAGAGCCAGCCTGTGTCTTCCAGCAATGACCCAGCGCAGCTCAGACTGCCTTATGGCAGAGAGGTGGGAAAAATGGAAGAGATTCAGGATTTGCCTAAATTAACATAAAAGTGTCAGTTTTTGGAGTTAGTCTTTGCACATCACTGTCCATGAGTATTCTAGCCACACTGAGGAGAGCAGATTAAAACTTAATTCTGGTTGGGCCAGATGACAACTAGAAGCAGCCTGAACTATGCTGTTCTCATGGAGAGGATCGAAAATGGTGAATAAATATCCACCTTTGGATCCATCGTCTGAGCAAGAGCACATGGAGAGGAGGCAGGAGGGAGATGAAGGCAACAGAAGTGGGACAATCTGCTCAGCAGGACTGGAGGTAACGAGGGAAGGCACCCACATGTGGGAAAGAGACAGAGGAGAGAATCCCGGGCTCCACGGTTTCCTGAGGATACCATGACCAGACGGCGGCAGGGCTCCTCCACCACAGCCAGCCTCTGGGCTTACGGAGACGTGACTGGAGGCTGTGCAGCTGCTCTGCTCTGT